GGGCATTTGTTTTCATCGCGGCCTATATTGTGTGTTAATTAACCAGGCCTTGTCCGCAGCTTTTGTGTGGAGGCTGCAGCTTGCGTCTTAGGCCGTTGTTTTCATGTCTGTTCCACATTTGTGCTATTGTGCGTTTGTGTGCGTGTGCCCCATTATGTTTCTTAGTGTCTCTCTGTGCGTGCGCGCGAGTGTGTTTGTGAATCGAGAGAAAGAGGCCGAGGGGTGACGGGTTGTTGTTCTCTAGCTCATTGTAATTTGTTCGATACACACTAATTGCTCTAATTTGTCTGTCTTGTTTTCTGTTTGCCTTTGAGTGTGTGTGTGCGTGTGTGTGTCGCTGGGTGTCATGTGTGATTTATTTTTATTTTTTTCATATGCACAGTCTCTGGATGGCTTTGTGTTCGTGGTCAGTCAGGAGGGACGTTTCCTCTACATCTCGGAGACGGTTTCTATCTACCTGGGACTCTCACAGGTAAGACGATCTCATTGCGCTCAGACACACACACACACACAGTGGAATAATCCTTTGTATACAAGCACATTTGCACACATGTGCCCTTCTTTCCTCCCTGGAATGCGTGTGTGTGTGTGTGTGTGAGTGTGCATATCTTTGACTGCACTCTTTGCGCTCATCTCTGGAGTGCAACTCTCTTGGGGGCAATGCTTCTCTCTGTCTGCCTCCCTCTGCCGCCTTGTCTCCCTCTCCAGGTGCTCACCTCTGTTGATTGCCTGTGGCCTCTTGTACTGTGAATGTTAAGTCCTGCCATTTTGCCCAGATGCATAAATAATAACAGTAATTACTGGCCCAGCAATCAAAGTGTCGCCCCGGCGCGCTGGGCCTGTCTAGGGGAACAAATCGATAGGCATCTTAAAAGCCACATTGATTGTGGGGAGGGGGAAAAACACCAAGGGGGATGGGAAGATAGATAGAGACAGCAAGAGAGAGAAGGAGAGGGGGAGGAAAGGAGGAGAGGTGTGATAAGGGAGGGATGTTTCGAAGTAAGAAGAAGTGGCACAGCATAAGAGAGAAGCAAAAGACGGAAGTTAGTGCCTCAATAAAGGAGGACAATTTGTCTTTTGTGCTGCGATGGAGGGTTTGCCCTTGTTTACATTAAAGGAAAGAAGCGTTTCTGCTCCGCCTCCTGAGTACAATACTCACATGCTATATGGAAATTGGAAGGATCCTTGGCCACTGTTATCAATTCCCTGTCTATACTGTCTGGGAGGCAGCCCCCCCCCCGAACAGGACCGACCTGTGAGAGATGGGGGACAACATGACAGTCCTCATTCTGCGTGGAAATTCATTTTGGAGTCAAGTGGGTATCTGACATTCAGTTCATTTTAGTACAAAATTATAGTAATGTATGAATGTAATATAGACTTTGATTAATTGCTGAGCCTTGTCAGATCACACAGATGTTATTGGACAGCAAGTAAATATTCACTTCATTTGTCAGATTGCTGAAGACTTTTTTTTCTTTCTCTCTCGAATGCATTTTTTGACAGAATACAGACTGCAGATATCTTCAGCTAAATTTATATTTGTGATCAAAACCTTGACTTTTTGGTTAACACCAAAAAGTGATGAATTTTATTTTATTTATTAATTCACCTTCATTTCCTTTTCCAATTATTTTGAGGGCTGTAACTGTAACTAACAAACTAAATATGTGCTCTGTTGCAAAAGTAGCCACATTAATGTCTTAGATTTTCCCATCTCTACTGGTATGATAGACTGTATGAACTAACCAGTCACAGTTTGGCTAATCTCTGTGCGTGCGATCAATGTCTGCATATTAGCACCTTCGTACAGTACTTTGTCCACGAGGATGCTCATCAGCATCAGCAGCAACATGCATGGACGAGATCCCTCCGCTGACAGTATACGGACAATACGGACAATACAACTTCTTTAATGTACATATGAGCATGCAAGTTGGCAATATATGCGACATGCTCAAGAGTAAATGAGGGGAGACCTGCTTTTTTGTGCACCTGCCGCAGCGTTTCTTGCGTCTGGCAAAGAGAAATCTATAAGGAAGATAGCGAAGTGGAAGTCTGATTTCAGAACAAAAAAGGACGGAGCTACGGAGAGAAACGTGTAGAACCAGACGGTCAATTATAAGAAAGAAGGGACTCAAAGAAGCGGAATAGGGGGGAGAATGAGAGACAGTGGTAAAGAGGAGAGAACCAGTCTGAGTGTGTAAATAGAGTTTAAATGTGCAGAAGGAATGAAATTCGCCTTGGGATTGCCTGGGTAAACAAGACAGCCGAGGCTTTGGTGGAGATGCTAATAAAACAGAGCTGTTCTTATCAGCTGAGCAGATGGCCTAACCCATCACATCTACTCAAACAGGGCCTCAACCATCGGCATTCTAATGAAATTATTTATGATCGAAGATTACGTTCAAAACCTTGAACATACAACGCAACGTTTACCTTCCTGAAGAGATGAGAGCTGGGGGCCGGCGAGGGGGGGGAGGGGTGTGTTATCATGAAAGAGAGAGACAGCCAAAATGGGCAGATAGAAGTTGGGATGAGTTAGGTGGACGCCTGAGAGGGAGGCGTTTATGGATACATAAGACGAGTCAGGAAAAAGATACAGAAAGAGGAAAGGGGGAAGGTGGGAGGGAGAGGACGAAAACACTTTGTTGGCGAGTGGAAGCGCACACAGGGGAGGCCCGAAGGACAGACAAACAAATGATGTTCTGACTGAAAAAGTGTAACTGGTGGTTTGTTTTAGAGGGCATGTCGCCCCTGTGGGACGCCCCTACCCTGCCGTCTCCTGTCCCCCCCACCGACCCCCCTGTCTGACCCCTCTGCCCTGGCTTACACCCCGGGCTTCTCCCCTGACGGGGGGTTGCTTAGCCGGCTTAGCCCAGGTCAGGCACCTTGACCAAGGGCACAGCCCGCCGCCCGCTCCCCTGGTGCCTGCAGGTATCATTTCTCATCTCACAGGGTCTCCGGGCCGGATCCACATCGTGGATAAAAACCTGGGAATGCCACAAAGCATAAGAGGGGTGGGGGATCGAAGGGGGACTAAAGAGGAAAGAGATGGATAGGTGGAGTTGGAGGAGAGGATACAAAGGCTGGAGCAGATGAAGAATCGTAGGGAGGGGAGATGAAAAGGATGGAGAAGTAAGAGAAGGGGCCGGGAGAAGAAAGAAAAGGGATAAATGGGGGAAAGAGAAGGGCGGAAGGATGGTGGATTAAGGGAGGAGAAAATTGATCCCGGAATGGTTAGTATGCAGCCCCCGCTCACCCCCCCCCCACCCCACCCCACCCTCCACTCTCCAACCCTCCCTCCCTCCTCTCTCCTCTCCCATCAGTCAGTGAGGGCTGAGAGTGTGTTGTGGACCACTGCCCGGATGCCTCATACATATTAAAGCCCCCTGCTATTATTTATATCATGTCTCTCCTTCCCCTGCTTGCTGCCCTCCCCCTCCTCCTCCCCCTTCATCCCCACCGCACTTCCATACATACATGCACGTGCATGTCTGCACTTTGCGCACACACACACACACGCGCATTCAGGTTCACGCAGGTGCACCGACAGACAACCACTCACACAAACAATGACACACAATGACACGCGGAGACACAAAAACAGACAGTCTAGTCACATACGCGGGGCAACAGAGGCGCGTTGTGTGCTCGCATACGCACAAACACACACTCTGAGAGATTTGAATGATCTCGGTCTCTCCTCACGTCTTCCCTTAGCGCCACATTCTATACCTGTTTTTATGTCGGAGCCTGACTCATCTTCCCAATTGCTCCGTCTCTTTCTCGTCTTCTCATTTCTCTCTGATCTTTTTTCAATCCCTCCCTCCTGCCCGTGATGGAGTGATATAATTCGGATGGGTCTTAAGCCTGTTAAAGCCCATAAGGACCTGTTTGTCTCTCCACCATGTTTTCCAATACCACAGGGCTGGTCCAGTGTTCTGAGCAGAAGAAAATTTAGCCGTTGTTTAAACGATAGAACGACAAGAATTCTTTTTGCAGTAGAATCTCTATTCAAAAAACAACTTGACCACATTGATATAATCTGTATGTGTAGTACATATGCTTTACGCATGTGTATTACACAGTTTCACAAACCAAACCACTTACTTGTCAGTCCCCCAACATCTTAATACGTAGATGCAAACTCCTAATTTTTAAACATGAATGAACGTGTCAGCTTTGATGTCAGAATTATAAGAAATGCGGGAGAAAAACACAGCACTTAGTAATCACACGGCTGATGTTATAACTGCATAATGAAGAGAAGAATAAAATACTCTGGAAGGGTGCTGTTACTCTTCTCATATTACACGCGGGATGTTCTTTTAGGGCCATTAACATTAACAAGGGGAGCAAGTTCATGCACATCGAGGCAAAGACACTGCAAGACAAAAAGAATACTTGGCGGCAGAGCACAACGGAGGTCCAAAGACTATTAAGCTCCAGATAAATAGTTTATTCGACCTACAAGATCTTCCTTAAGTGTGGAAAATAAAAGGCATTTATTTTAGAGGCAGTTATCAAATAAGTGGTGAACAACCATCCTGATCTCCAAAACCTGTGTATATAAATAAATAAATGTATATGTATACGAAGACACAAATTCGTAGTGATACATACTAAATAAATACGGACTGGCAACTGATGACGTCGCCCTATTCAAAGTGAATGGGGACCTGCACCCTGTAAACACACTTCGTGAAGTTTAACGATGTAAAATAAACGTGTTATGATTGCATTTTTAACAAGAAATCAATGTTAAATTGTAAGAATACAATACTAACCCTAACCCCCTCAAAAAATCCAACATGGCGGAGAGACGTTCACTCAAGGGGCGTGGTTAACCACCGCCAGTTAGTATGTATTGTTACAAATTTCTTTGTCAAATATTTCGTATACATTTTTACGAACAGGTTTTGGAGATCACGTTGGAACAACACAAGCTAGTGACCAAATAAATAAACAAACAAACGTTAATATGACCAAACCTGGAAACCCAAGGTGACCTTTATTATTAGTTAGAAGTGGATACTTTTTTTACAACAGTATTAATATCATCGCTTTAATCTGCTCATCTCAACTTTGCAGAGTTTTTTAGTTTGGTGGTTTGGATCTGTAGCTGCTTCAGTTCTCTCTCACTGCTCTCAGAGCAATGTTCTCAGCAGCAGGGGTCAGCTGTTTTTCAATGTCAAAGCTCCAAAGACCCCACTACCCGCTACCTGCTCAGTACCAAACAGCATACAGACACTATTAGCCACCAGCAGGTGAACACAATGCAACATTTTGGATCACAGGAGTTCAAAAGGAGCAAAAGCTAAAAGGATTTTGAATGGTGGACAAAGATTCACCCGTTGGCCATAACCACAACTCCAAATGAATGACAATATTTCTCTGTAAAGTGCTGTTTAAAATGAGTGACTCTTTGCTAACAAGTTACAACATGAAAGATATGTCAATGTTGCAAACTGCTACCTTCGTTTCTCCATATGCTGCCTTTCAGATCTAGCATTTAATGTTTGGTGGCACATTTCCAAAAAAACAGGACATCCCTCAGGAGATGTCTGGGGCTCAGAACCTGCGTCGCTTCGCTCTTCTTCACTCTTCTTCACTCACTATTTGGGGTTTCCTCCCTCTGTACCCCCCCGCCGTTCCTTCATCGTCCACCTCATTCCTCGGCTCCCACCTTCCCCGTTCCCGCTGCTTCCTCTCCCCCGGTTGTGATGTCCTTGAGGGCCTGCTGAAGCTCCCATAAAGCCTGCAGTAAATGGCTCTAATCCGGTAATAAATGGCTGTGTCCTACAGACAAGGGTGTGAGGCTGCTGCAGCCACGGCTTTATCAGATGGAATGGTATTGGCACGCACAACCACAGACGCACACACACACATTCAAAGATGTAATAGAAACTGCATGCATGTGTGTGAGCATGAATACTCTCCCTCTCTCTCTCTGCCTCTCTCTCCCCCATTACTTTTCTCTCTCACAGACACACACTCACACCTGCACGCGCGCACAATCATGTATACAGTTCCAGATGGAATCACGGGCGCCCCGATTGTGCTGTTTTTATGGATGCCGTGCAAGAGCAGCGCCATTATTACCTTTAAATGATTAGATATGTGACTGTGGATGCATTATGATGATAGGATCATATAGAGCTGTCCTTAGCTGGTGCGTTGCTCTTTATGCCTGCCGGGATAGACTGTAACTGAATGAAGGGGCTGGCAGGGACACGGGGAATAAGAAGAATAGTAATGTGACCTTTGGAGATACTTGCAGTTCACCTGTTTTTAATCAGCAAATACAATTGATTTTTATCTCCCCCGGTTTTATTTGTGTAATACTGTAGTCACTTGGTCCTCTGAGACTGGACTTAAATGTATGTATGTGCGTGTGTGCGTGCGTGGGAATGTCTTACAACCGCTACACTCCTTGTTGAGTTGTAACCTGGAGCAGTGCTTTCATTTTCCTGCCATAATGTATATTGATTTTTTTCCCTGCGCGTGTGTGTATGTGTGTGTGTGTGTGTGTTTTTTGCCGTCCGGAGGCATTTGTGCTCTGAGCTTCGTTTTTTTTTTTTTTTTTTTGATCAGCGTATCCGCTTCTCTTCAGGTGGAGCTGACCGGCAGCAGTGTGTTTGACTACATCCATCCGGCGGACCACGTGGAGATGGCCGAGCGGCTGGGAATCAGCCCGCATCTGAGGGCCGAGGCCGGCTGCCACACGGGACCCGAGAGCGCCTCCAGCTCAGCGTCCACCTCATCCCTGGCTGGTACCCCTGAACCCGGTACTGGCTATGATTTCAATCCACAAAGCTGAGAGAGAAACATAAGAACGACATCTCAAACACATCTCAAAATAAGTGCATTTATGACGAATCCTGCAGGATGGATATGTTTTTGTAGTTTTACGTCTTCTTTCATCCTCCACAGCTCCGTCTAGTCCTCATTCTCCTGCTGATGATCCTCCGGACCGCGGCTACTTCATCCGCATGAAGTCCACGCTCACCAAAAGAGGCCTGCATGTCAAGTCCTCCGGATACAAGGTACAAAGAAAATAATGACCTATACTTTGAAAACCCATCTAGTTTTATTCCTATTTACCTACTTGTTTTTTGGGAGAGTGAAATAACAAGAAGCATCTTGTCACATGGTTTCCGCGGCTGGCGCCTCACTGCACTGTCAAATTGCCCGTTTTCAGTGTGTTTTATGGCTGTGACCTCATTTTACGCTGGACTGCTGCACAGTTTACTGCTCTCGCTGGCCGTGCTGCTGCCATCCGTCGGCTGCGGTTACTTTCTCTACCCTGAGTTGTGTAACGTCTGGCGGCGTAAAACGCGTCCTTCCATGAAACGAGCGCGCGCTGATGTCTTTGCCGTTTGTCAGGTGATCCACGTGACGGGACGGATCCGCTGCCGCCCTGCGCTCGTGCCGGGCTCCACGCGCTCAGGCCGCCGGCCGATGGGTTTGGTTGCCCTGGCGCACACTCTCCCGCCCTCCACGCTCAATGAGGTCCGCATGGAGAGCCAGATGTTTGTCTTCCGGGTGAACATGGACCTGCAGGTCACATACTGTGAGAACAGGTACGGCTTTTGCCCCGTGTGTGAGGAGTTGCGGCGGTATACACAATAATACACAAGTACAAGTGTGTTTTTTGTTGGTGCGTGCCTCCACAGGATCTCAGAGTATATGGATCTGACCCCGGCAGAGGTGGTCGGACACACCTGCTACCACTTCATCCATATAGAAGACCTGGAAAACCTCCGGCAGAGCCACGAGGATTGTGAGTCACAGCTACACGCATGTCTGCTGTATGTAATGGATCCACGCCGCCTTGGCGCTACACGCGGTGTCTGACCTGTGGAGTGAGAGCCAGTTGAAATCGCCTTCTGTCCCGTTGCGAGAGGCGCCCTCTGCTGCCATCATCGTGAACTGCCAAACCAATGACTCTCTCCTTCCCTGCCCTTCTTCTCCCTCCCGTGTCCTGTCCTGCGTCCCTCCTCCCCATCTCCCCCCCCCCTGCTCTCAGTGCTGAGGAAAGGCCAGGTGGTGACCGGCTACTACCGTTGGCTCCAGAGGAGAGGAGGCTACCTGTGGATCCAGTCCAGCGCCACCGTGTCCATCAACCACAAAGCCCCCCATGAACGCAACGTCATCTGGGTCAATTACATCCTGAGGTCAGTACAGTCTGTGCTCATGTGAACTGAGGTTAGCAGAGAACCTTTGAAGGGCCGATGAAATGAAGAGGGATTAATGAAAGACTTGATGATAACACAAATGGTGCCGTCAAAGCAAAGCACAAGCAGTTATTTTTAATATAAACATTCAAACATTTATATATATTATACAGTTTTGAGATGAAAAATTTAATCTTATGCTTTTGGTTTTTCTCTTCAAAAAAATATTATAGTTGCCAAATTGTTTTGTCCATTATAGAAAGCAGATTTTAGGGTTAGAACTCAGTTTTCTCAGTTTTCTTACTGCGCATTCTTATGATGATCTTTTTTCTTGTAACTATTTATCTATTTTTGTTTTGTTCAAATTATTTAAACGTCGCTCCTCTGCAGAGTATATCAAGCTGCTTGCAAACATGCAGTTAACATGACTCACTCACTACTTAATATCATCACTCTAAATAATCTTGTAAGGAGATTTTGAGGGAAGACTCTGCACTTTTTGTCGCAGTTCAAATGACGCAGTATTATTTCTGTCCAAGGCTTTATTTATACACTCAACAGGCGCAGCGACCGCAGTAACCTCGGCAAAATATGCTTTGCTTATTTCCCTCGTGTATACGCACACATATTCACCCAGACACTGACGCAGACACACATTTGTAAGATCCATGCGCACAATGTGCACACGCTCGTACATAATAAAAATGTGTGCACAACGGCAGACACAAAAACAAAAGGACTAGGCTGAATTTCAATGCTAATTGGACTGACGCTATATAATTACAACAAATGGATTCGGTCAGAATTTTGGGGCTGAATGGTGTTTTAGTTAATTAGTGCTGTAATTACAAGAGCTCATTAAGTTCTCCAACAGCCCCCTCCTTGTCTGAGCTTAGTTGTGTATTGGGGGGCTGCTGAGTGGGGCCTTGTGTGTGTGTGTGTGTGTGTGTTTTTGTGCGCGTGTGTCTTGAAGGGCGGTGTTTGTCAGTTTGCGTGTCGGTGCTTGTGTATCGTGTGATAAGGGCAGTTTGTTTAGAGAATCGGGTTGATTTGCTAGGTGGAGTTTGTCAGGCGGATTGTATGTTGTTTCCGTCTCAAAGTATTCACTCAAAGTCAGAAAGGCATTAGTGTTTTTTTTGTTTCTTTGTTTTGTGGCTTTTAAGCGTTGATCATCCGTGTGTCGGTGCACCGTTTTCTGCCTCCCTTTCTCCTTTTACATTATCACGTCCGTCCTTCTCGCCGTCCGTTTTTGAATCCATCTCTATTTCTAACATCATCCAGTCGAACAGAGTTGCCCGACACCCCCCTGGACATACTGCAGCTACCGGAGAATGTAAGAGCAGAGCGACTGCGGGTCAGCTCATCCCCCACCGACAGTTCCCCCCAGGCCCGAGGTACGGTGCTACACACACACTGGCTCTTTCCCATGATGCCCACTGACACACATAAACACCTTTTCGGTGCCCCTTTAATCACCCTTCCTCCTTAGGATCGCACCCAATGAAGAGCTCGGTGGGGAAGAGCGACCCCGGCTCTAAAGGCAGAGAGAAATTTACCACCGCGGCCGTCCAATCAGAGGCCAGGAGGAAGCGCCTGCTGAGGTCCGACCCGGAGGGGGCTCCTCCTGAAACCCGCCGCCGACTGGAGGAGCTCCGCCAGGCAGAGGAGAGCGTGTCGGCCTCCTCGGACCTGGCCAGCGAAAGCGAGGGCGAGGAGGAGGAAGAGGCGGAGTGGGACCAGGGGGGAAACGGTGAGAGACTGAAACAGGAAGAAGCTGGAGGAGGCAAACCGATTAGGGGCGGCGACGCCCCCACCGGAGGGGAGCGGGGCAGCAGGGTGCACAACGGGCGGGCTGTGATCCAGCAGCTGAAAAGCGTAGTGAGCCAGCCCCCGCTGCCTGGCAGCCCCAGCATCAAGACGGAACACGAAGCCCTGACCACCGGGGGAGGTCGTTGGGGGTCACACACGCAGACCTCCGCCTCCCACGCGCACACCACTCAGCCCCAACCCTCGCACGCACACACACCCTCCAGCAGCCTCAACGGCGACAGCCCCACCACCCCGATCCCGGACTCTTCTTCCAGCAGCGACGCCCCCCCTAAAGGGCTGTTCACTCCCCCTTCCCCCGCTCTTTCGCCCGCAATGTCCGTGTCCTCGCCGTTGCCACGGGAGGACAGGGTTGTGTCGGGGTTGGTCACCCGGAGCGGCGGCGGCGTAGGTAGCTCTCCTGACTTTGAGCTGCTGCAGAGACTGGCTGCGGGCGGCGCGGCGGGGCGGGTCCTCTTCCACCCGCTGGCCCTCGGCCCGCAGGGCCCCCAGAGCCTGTACGCGCCCAGCACCATCCGCTACGCTCCGCCTGAGCTGCCCCCCTCTCACCACCACGGCATGGAACACAGCGATGGCCTGCAGCTACGCTCGGACCACCACAAGGGACCCCCGCCGGCCTTCTTCCCCCACCTGCAGCGGCTGGCCGGCTTGCCACCCTTCAGCGGTTTCTCCCCGTCTGACAGCCCTTTCTCCTCCGGCCTGCCCTTCTGTATGAACGGACTCAGGGGGGCTGCGGGCTCCGAGGAGGACTGAGGAGGAGGAGGAGACGAAAAAATGAAAGCCGGAGCAGAGTGACAGACCAGGAAGTGAGACTTTGAAAAGGGCAGGAGAGACGGAGGTGGCAGGACATTAAGCCTCTGAGGACGTCACTAATTGGACGATGAGTTGAATATCTGCGTTTTGAAATATGTGACAAGTCGCTGCCGGAGGGAGTTGTTGCGTCCGCCCGTTGTGGACGAGTGACAGTGACTCTCAAAGAAAACGGGACATGGAAACTTTTGACTGGTTGTCCCTCGAGACTTTCCGTTTCTGCGGCGCTAATGAACTCTGCTCTGTGTCTTTCTCTAGATGACTGTGTTGATTTCTGTGTCTCTTCCACTCAGAGAAGCCATATTGTGTATATAGAGACGAAACCATAAAGACCCTCAGCTTACATCCTCCTCCCTCTCACTCCAATTAACCCAATTAACCCTAAATCCTGTAGAGCGAGAAGGACATTGCCGACTTTGGAATATCAATTTTTATTATTGCAGTAATATACAAATCATCTCTCACACTGGGATCCAGGTGAGAAAATGATTACGGGGTTTCCCTTAAAAAAATAAAGAAAAAGCCCTCCGGTGTTTTTGTATTGAGATTCAAAGTGTTCATGATAAAAACGTCCTCGTCAGTCAGCCATACTTAAAGCACACTGGTGGGACAAAAATAAGAATGATGTAGTCCCAGACATTCCATTATATATAAGGGGACAATGCAATGCTGACAGGACGCTATTTCTCTTGTCTGATTATAGGAGAGCAATTTGTTTAACTGAGTATTAATTATAGTATATTCTGTATGATGCTGCGGTTGTATTTGTGTATGAAAGCCATATTCTTGTTTTTTTTGTTTTCAAAGTTTGTATCGATTTTCCTTCCACCAGAAAAATACGACAGAAGGACGTTAAAATGGAGTCTAGACAGAGAAAATAACATTGTTCTATTGGATGTACAATGTCATCCAAACACATTTTTTATTAGCCTCTAAAAATATATTTCTGAAAAGGTTTTTAGGAGGGGAAATGGTGCTGGACCCCAATGTTTGTTTTTGTGTCTTACTAAGCACTTACTGAAATTAGTTCTGGGGTGAACTCAAAGCACTTCATCACTTAACACTTACTGCGGTTGAAACAGAAAACAATGCAAAAGTGGTCCCTAATATGTAGTGTAGTTGAGGGGTGTATATGGACACGCTCAAAAGAGGAGATCAATTTAAAAAAACAGACCAAATGTGGTCATTAAAAGCGGACCATTACAGGTCAATAAAATTAAACTGAATTATTCTGATGATGTCAATGTATTTTAGTAAAGTTTAAAATCAAAAAATGCAAAATTGAAATCACTTTAAATTTCAGCTTCATTGCTGTTTCATTTGAATTCATGTTCAGGCCATGTTACAATTTTTAGGTCTTTCAACAATGAATTTGAAATGAAATAAGTCACAAATAATTTAGAGTTGTCTAAAATATACTCAATTGAGTCTAAAAAATACAAAATGTGATATTACATTAGAAAATGTCACCTTTTTTGGTTGGTTTAAATTAAAATAATAGAAAAAAAATCTAATGAACCATCCAATAGTTGTCTAGCACTTTGGATAAGGTCTTTTAAACTGATCTAAGATATCATCAAAACACATTTATGTTAAAAAACAACTAAAGCAGGACGCAGCTTATAAGGTGTTTTTATTTTTTTTTGCTATCAAATTGAGATTATGGTCGACTGTCGGATTTGGGGTACGTGGGCAGAAAAAAAGAGAAAAAACATTTCTAATCGTTCAGATCCGACATGCACTACGCACCCGTCGCTGTCACATGTGTGAGCGCACATATTCGCGGGTGTTTAATAGTATAACTTGTGTGTATGTTGTATGCTTGTCCAAGTGTGTATGTTTAGTTTTTTTCTTTAATTAAATATCTAACCCTTTGCCCATCACTGTGAATTTAACATTATCCTCCCATCTTTGTAAATATTCCACCCACTCATCAAATAAAATGAACAAATGTAAAAAGAAAAAACAGTGATACAGATGACGATAACAATAAAATATTGCAGTAGAGGAGCACAAATCAAAGCTTTGTTGTTTCTTTCTTGATTCACATAAACTAATTAATTGAGTTACAGTACGTGAAATATTCTATGACAGTTAATTAAAGTCTCACGTGTGATTCAAATAGTTTGTGTGGCCGTGGGACACGTTTTAAACTAAATAGGGTCTTTTCACAATACATTTGCATACATTGTCAGCGTTGATATCTGCTGCAAACACGCGTTTCATTCTCAACACGTAGATATTCAATTCTTTGATGGAAAATATTGGACATCTATGTCCAGCTTTTCACCATTTCCCAAACAACATACTGCCAAGAATAACAAACACATGAGACAAATCTGGTATCAAAATGTCTTGTGTCACTGAGTGTTAACAAAGCACATGTTCGATCCTTCGTATCCCTGGAGTTGACGAACAACAACAAAAACCACGTAATGGAAGACAATGATATTGATCCTTTTCTTAAAACAGTAACATGTGGAGCAGGTGAGAGCAGCCGTGGCACGATGGAGGACGTCGCTCGCGTGTGTTGGATTTAACAGAGATTCAAAGTCGTTGGAAAGGATCAAGAAAGCAGCGAATAGAGCATTTCCCTCATGAGAGACTACGGGCGGGCGTGCATCACCGTCTCAGCGCGCGTGTGTGTGTGTGTGTGTCTGTGTGTACATTTGTGGGTTGCTTGTGTGTCTGCTCTTGTGTGCATCCCCATGAATTTGCAAGTGTGTGTGTGTGTGTGTGTGTGTGTTGTCTGAAGCAGCCCCAGGGAGGGGCTCTGACATTGAAGACGGGTTAAATCCTGTTTTACATTCAAGTGGCAGGCCCTAGTTCATTAGAGTGAGGATCATTCCTCCTCAAGACCAAAGGAAGTGCATACTAAACAAGAGCAGTTGTTGGGGAGAAAATGCCATTGTACGTGCAAAACCGTATGTACTGCATAAGTGTGTCCGTGTGTGTGTGTGTGTGTGTGTGTGTGCACTGGGACAGAGCTCTGCAATACCCTCTGGTTTTATCTCTATATCCTCCATTCTGAGGAGTGCTGTCTTTTTAAAGCAAAGTAAAGGTGTGGCTTGTTCAGTGCATTGTTTGTGTCGATGTGCATGTGTGCGTGTGTGTGTGAGTGTGTGTGTGTGTGTGTGTTTGTGTGTGTCTTGGCAGCTCTCCTGACTGTCATCTACTCGGCCTGTCGTTGAGTAACCCATGTGCCCTCTCTGTCACGGACTTTGATGGCTTATCTTAGCCCCTGAATTGGAGTCGTGCTCCCGGGGGAAATACCTTAGCACATGTAAATGCATCTGAAAGAATAAAAATATGGGTTGGAATAATAAAGTGAGGGACGGAGGGAGACATCCGGACAGCTTCCACCTGACACGGACTTGCTACGTCGCCACGCGTCTGTCTTTGCTCCATCCGCCCCTCTGCTTCCTCGGCTGTTTTTGTCAATATTTCTCAACAACCTTCTCTTCCTCCTCCCGGCCACGCAGGAGAAGGCCGATCCGCGCTTAATGCAGGTCTCAAAGCAGAGGCTTTGATCCATGGGGTGTGGCATTTAACACCTGAGAGCAGATGAGCAACCTCGTCTCCAGATGAGCCGAGGCTGTGGCTGTGACTTCTATCGGCCTGCGAGTGTGGACGTGCATTAGAGGGGTTTTTGAGATGCATGAGGTTCGACCTGGACTCGCAGCCGTGGCGGCTGTTGGTGGTTTCTGAGGCTCGGGGTCCGGGGGGGGGCGGTAGATGGTGTTTGTCAGTGAGGGCGCGTCTCCTGCCTCTGGGCGCCCTGCCCTTTAGACGCGCCAGGCCTCGGGAGCCTCCTGCATGTCAAACAGTATACTGTGCAGTCAGATGCAGCCACGGAGGAGAGACACGGGGAGCGGAGGGGAGGGGAGGAGACGCAAAGTAAGGACCTGAGGGCGTAGAAGGGGGATCTGAGTGAGAGAGCAGAGGGAGGGAGGAGAGGGGCTCCAGGGGAGGAGGAAGGAAGGGTGCTGGTCACACTGCAGCAGCCATCCAGACACACCCTGCATGTGAAACACGACTGCATTGGAACGCCCCGGGAATCGGCTACAGGGAGGTGGGAGGAGGAGAGGAGGAGAGGAAGAGAGGGTGACTCCGAGGTGAGTCTCAACAGCAGGACCGCGTGTCGATGGCCGTAAGATATCGCGGACCTTCGCCCTAACCCAGTCGGTGATAGTTATCACAGACAAAGCCGCCTCATCACCAACGCACACACACACACACACACACACACAACCACGTGCTGCTCAGCTCCCTTCATATATTCACATGCTCGTAGATGAGCAGCTTATTCTCCTCATAAAATACAGGTCTTTATTTGTGTTGATAAATTACTGCAAATGAATTTATGGCTATTTTATTTGACCAAATATGTGCACATTCTGTCCAGACTTATTCACGGCTGCTCTTCTTAACTCCCGTTCTTTGTATCTGTTTTACTGCTTGGTTGACGGTGAGACAATCACAAGGTTTCCATTCCAACGGGACAGCGCGGTCCGGCACCTGAGCAAACTGAATCAATGTTTGTTAATTCTAATAATTCAGCTTCTTTTGATCATCTTTGATGTTTCTCAGCTCAGGGACCGGATGGTTTGGAGGCATATGGCTCATCTTCAGTAGAGGCTCAAGAACATTTCTGCTGCGCGGAACGTTTCCAAGAGCAGAGTGACATCCATGTTGAGGATTGAAACAAACCAGGACGGTGAAACCGAGCAATCAGGGGCGAAGGCACTTGGTAAGAGAGGCGAAGATGATCTTGATGACCTGTAGGAGCTCTAGAGATCCTGGGTGGAGAAGGGAGAAACTTCCAGAAGGACAACTATGAGTGCAGCGCTCTAAAGGGTCTAGGCTTGATGGCAAAGTGGCTAGATGGAAGTCTCACTTCAAGGTGAAAGCACCAAAGGCAGACTTTGGGAAACAGATTCTCTGGTCCGATCTGACCAGAGAATCCTGTCCAGAAGAAACCAAGCTCTGCTCAACCATCCATCCAGTCGTCACCCGGTCCTTCAGGCTGAAGGTTCCATCGTGTCCAGAGGCGGTCCAACCAGCCTGAACTTGAACCCGATTGGACATCTCTGGAGAGAAAAGGTCTCGTCTCCATCAAAGCGGACAGAGGTCGAGAGGCTCTGCAGAGACAAAAGCCCCCAAATCCAGGTATGCAAAGCTCGAGGCGGTTTTCCCTGTCAGGGGCACTTCAACTGAGTTTAGGGTCTGAACACAAGTTCACAACACTGAAATTCTTAAATCTAAAATCCTTTTTTCTTGAGAATATATGAGAATATGAAAATAGAATTTTAGAATAAAACAAGTGAAGCCTCCTGAATAGTTTATTAATGTCGTTTTTGCACCCAAATCCAAACACCCAAACACATTCCGCTATAAATGGAAACTTTTTTTTATACAATGAGAGGTCAAGACATCAACGATTACAAGTAGCAACCAGGAATACTACAATGATGTACGTGTCAGCTGGGTTTCATTCCACTAAACACAGTTATTCAGGAAAATGCACGATCTAATTAAAACTTTAAATAATCAGGGTCAGGTCATAATTCAGGTCGGTTGTGAATATTCCCTGACTAATTTGAAATGACAAAAAACAACAGGCCATTTAAATAACTCCCAACTCTTTTGGCTCCATCACACTTTTAAATGAAGCGTCCTCATGCAGCGCCGGAGGTACAATCGTACAGAAGTACATTTAGAAAAGCTAATATGAGACTAGTTCAGCATGTGAGGATTATTTGTCGAGCAGACGCTCGTCTCTTCACCTTCAGATCTACCTGGCGAATGTCGGCCATGTGGGGAAACCCGGGTCGATTTAAACGTGAAAGCAAATTACAGACACTCCGAAGTTTCGACCCTGTGTCAGCATAGATTTCTTCTCGCGTTATTGTTATTGTACATAAGAGGTATAAAAGTGAACCCAATTCCCTCACACAAATTCAACATAATAGATTCAGACACGTTCTTTACATCCAATAAAACAGCAATCATAGGAAACACCAGATAGTGTGAAAGTCACTCAAAAACTGAAGTGATGTGTGGTTACATTTAGGTAACTGTACATAAAGCCACAGCAAAAGCTGCGAAAACTATTTTTCCTTTACAAAATCGATTAATGAACAACTGACAAAAGAGCCGTTACCCATAATAAAGAATAAAAAAAAATTAACAATTAACAGGATAATCTGTTATAAAATAATAATGTCCATTGTAAGTCCTCATTGATATAACAACATACCTGAAACGTGCATATAGTGTGAACATTCTCACAGCATATCACAACAATGTATTTCATTGTATAAAAACTTCAAGTAGTCAGAGTAGATTAAGTCGAACAGGACAAACAGTTGGCTGAGCGATAATCGCATTGAAAACTAAACTTCTATGAACAGACGTACGACGTTCTCACAGCCTCTGCACTGCTCCTGCAACGCCAGCAACAAATCAATACCTCCCTCAGGCGCACTGACAACGCAAGTGAACAAGTGTTGAATATATCTGATTATATCCCCAGAAGGGAACGTAGTCCAACTACCAAAATGTCAACATTTTCTGAGCAGTTTTCCAACAAGGCCTTAAAGTCTTCATTGACCTTAACGATAACATCAACATAACAGTGAACAATGCGTCTTTATGGAGTCACGCAGCACACACACACACACACACACACACAATCACACATAGGGAGCCCTGAATCAAAGAGACACACACACACACACACACACACACACACACACACAGTTTGCAGCTCAGGTGTCTACTTCTTGGGCCCCTTGCTGTCACTGTCCTCCCTGCCGTGATGTCCGCCGCCGTGGGAGCCACGGTAACCCCGGTGGTCGCGCCTCTCCCGGCACTCCCGGCACTCCCCCTCGCCGTCGTCCTCCTCCTCATCCCCCCCCTCGTCCCCCCCGTCGTCGTGGATGATCTCCACCTCCAGGCGGCCGATGTAGAGGGACACGGCGCACAGCCAGAAGAGGGCGACGCTGCCCACCACGGCGCTCTGGAGCAGCAGCGCCGGCACCGACAGCAGCATCATTCGACGAAAGGCAAAGAGGCTGCCGACGTACGAGGCCCCGCCGAAGGACACGCACACGCCGCCCAGGATGAAGAAGGCTGAGGAGAGGAGAGGGGAATGATTGCAGCGATCCAATTTGCTTTCTCACCGGTAATTAAATCTCGGGCAGGGGAAGGTGCCGTCGAGTTTTAGTCGGAAAAATGACTGAAATGGGATGAAAAGATCTACAAGGACTGAAATACATGTCGCGTTTTTAGACTCATGACTACATTTAGTAGCTGGCAAATAAAAATGTTCCACACAGCGCTTTATTAACTAATTTTACCAATTGCAGAGATTCTTGTGAAATCCTTGATTTGCAGAATACAAAAATAAAATCCATCCGGTTCTTTGGGAAACTGATTTTTAGCAGGGAAAAAGGCTGATGTATGTTGGTTATATCAAATGTGTATTATAAGACTTGTATTGTTTTTCTTAAATCCACTATCCTTGAATAATTAAGCAGTGACCCACTGTAACAAATCTGGCGCACTCGTAGCCAACTTGCAGCTCTGCCGTACATGAAGAGGGGAGTCGCAGCACGTACCATATCCCGCTTCGCGTCCCACTTCGCTCTGGACAAATGCGATGACTCCAATCCCGGTGGCCAGCAGACCGTTCCTGAACCACGAGAGGAATCCTGGGAGAAAAGTCAAAGCCAGAAATAAACAGCAAACCACATTACGGCCGGACCCGACGTGCCTGCAGAGCGCCGGATAAGACCAGGCAATTAATCCCCCGAGCTGCCTCGGTTCACCAAAACCTGCTGGTTCGGTATTCTGAGACGTGTAAGCTCTGTCCTAATTCATAATTAAGTGCATTCTGTAATGAGGCAGTTATGTGTGTTCACACCGGAAAAAGCAACGTAGGCTAAGTACACTCAAAGATACACACACAAAGGTCTAATACTGTATTTAGTGGATGTATTCTATTCCTCGATGAACTGCAAAGAGGAAAAAGAAGAACAGCCGCAACACATTGAATTAAATTACAGATGTCGATGTGAGTGACAGCTTGTGGATGATCTTGGGAGAAAAAGTAGGAAACGTTCAGAAAAACCACAATGAGTTTCGAGGTTGCAGTTTGATGTCCCAGAGAGAGAGAGAGAGAACATATCGCATCGTCTCCAGTCATAGTAAACTGAAGTTTATTTTTACTACGGGCCCAGTATAGGGTACATTTGATTGATTGAAAAGCAGTCCTGCACACTTATGCATCTGCATCCTCTAAAAGGCTGAAAGACATGTATTCCCTTACCTATTGGTGTTGGCCTGGTTTGCATTCTGCATCTACGTGCAGGAATGTCTGTGCAGCGTTTGTGCTGATTATGTATTTAATACTTACACCTTGAGATGATCATTTTGTCTTTTGTAAAAGCACAGAGTTTGATTTTAAGTGCTCTTTTAGACTTGGACCTACTCAACTAGAGAGGATATACATCTTTAAAGCTTTAACCTTTACGCAGTTGCTTTGTCACTCTTGTGACAGCGAAATGATGCGTTTACGTGATCACGTCCATGTACGAGGTTCAAGGTTTAAACCGGACAGCTGGACTTTAGTCAGGTTACCTGTCTCGTGGGACTTTCTCAGCATCTGCGGGGGGGAAATGGGAGAAAAACAACTAATGAAGAACAACAACCTCTAATTTAAATCATCGTTGCCTCGCGGCTGCATCAACGCAACGTTATTAACGATCGCTGCGACGCACAACCGGAAATGAGACTGAGACATTTTCGCAAATTCAAAGAAAAGAATCCGTGAACCGAGTCCACGTGCTCCTACCAAAGCGTCCGCCTTGTCGAGGTCCGACAGCTGGTGCTGCTCCGGCCCGCGGACCCTCCCCCACGGATCCGTCTCCCCGAACCGCAGCCGACCCGAGCCGTGCAGCCTCCTCAGCGGGGCCGCGGGGCGACGCGCCGGCCTCAGCGTGCGGGCGAACCGGCACACGGCCGGTGGCAACTGCCTCCTCATGAACAAGGTCAAGAAGGCCATGGCGGTACGGACCAACGAAACGAAAGTTTAGAAGAAGAGACGAGACAACAATAATAAAATAAAAAAACACGCGCTGTGACCTTTCACACCGTTTGGTCAACGACGAGGACCCGGAAGAGTCTCCTCGTTACGCACGACGCCGCGAAGAGGCGCGCAGGAAAAGTTCAGCGCCACCGTGCGACTGACCCCTAAACCGACACATTGGAACCAGGACGCACGTTTAGTCGAGTTAGTATTGAGCCACAGCTGATTTATCTCTTCATGTATTTGCCTTGTTGGTTACGCCTTTTGTCGACATTTTCCCTTCGATTGTACCGACTAGTGTGCGATTGCGTAAGTGCGCCACACGAGGGCGCCACAGTCCATGACATCGACTTAAATCCAGATTTATTCTTTCATTTTATTGCGATTCCCAAGCACGACAGAACCGTGGAAGCAAATTTCTGTCATTGTGATAATACAAATATATATATATATATATATATATATATATATATATGTATATATATATATATATATGTATATGTATATATATATATATATATATATATATATATATATATATATTTTGTGTTCCATACAGACAGACAGGGAAAAAATACAATCTTTCAACTAAGAAATGTACTCAGAGAAAACACAGATGCGAAAGATGATTTGCATGCAAATGAGTAGAAATTCTAATAAAAATATATCTTAAATACAATTCTACTTTTAAAAAGGTCTTGTTATAAAGTGGACCCATGGAGGGAACCTTTTCTTAAATACCTTAAGAGGAACGAGAAGGGGAGAGTTGGGTGTTTGTTTGATATTGAATATGATGTTTAACCATCCACACACACATACACACACACTCATGCAGCTATTATCCTCAATTTTATTGAAATCACATAAAATAAGACACATAGTGATATAAATATATAACAATGGTTTCCTCGCCGGATAACGTGAGTGTGTATGTGTGGGAGGGAAAGTCCTGTGGTCCTCGGTGAGGAGGACAGCCTCTTCCTGAGGGTCTTTTGTCTTTTTCGGCCCACTGGGGCCCAGGAAGGCCAGACCTGTCAATACCTGATTGTTCAGTCTAAGGAGCGTCGAGGGCGTCCAGCGGGGTCCCCGATGGGAGTTTATGTGTGTGTGTGTGTGTGTGTGTGTGTTGACAGTGGGGTCTTTTACAAACGGCCAAATCTTTGATGTAATGTGCAGCTGACCCTTTGGTCACTCTCACGCTACTGTCCCAAACACAACCAAACACAATGGGGGACTGATGTTTGTATACACTCATGCACACACACACACACACACACACACAGTTGCACGTTCTTACACTTACAGATACGTTGTCCAGCGTTATGACACATTTTCCATACACGGGGTAGTGTATTCCCCTAAAAGGACACTTTACCTTCAATATTGCTCCTCACATTCTTATATATTTATAGTTTATATATATAGTTTGATCATTATATTATTAAATACAAAAGTAGTGTTATTCCTGATGTATATACTGTATATGCAAATATTGAAACAATTGGTGATATGACAGTCATTGTATTGTGTATATATTCTAAAGAAAAACAAATGGAAATATAGTAAAAATGTGTCCATCCCTCTTACATATAAACCATATATATTGATACAAATTTCAACATCTATCAATGGATGTTTCGATGTGCAATAACAATTCATTACCTTTTCTAGAAGTTTTTTTGTTGAAAAATGTTTCTCATCGTTATATAAAAGGGCCGAATATAAATGGTACGGCCACCAAAGGTATCTGATTGTTTTGTATCATTTGGGGGTGATACGATGACTGTACTACTGGGTGCGGTCCAGACTTACCAGGATGCTGCACAGAACAAACTTTATTTCCTGGTAATGTCACGGTTGTGTTTGTGGTGGTTGTGCGTGTGCAGCCTGCATGTGTCCTTTCAAACAGCACGCTGTCGGGACACAATGTTCACAGTGTGTCACCAATGAAACAGGAACCAGTGTGATGGTAACAACGGTGACATCGTTTGTCTCAACCCAACTTAGTATACTCCGTGGTTGTATTGCTCAACTGAATTTAAATGAGCACCAAACAACGTGGTTGATTGAAAAAGAAAAAATGATTCAAGAAATAGGACCTTGAATAGGTAGATAGGGTAAAGTACGGTAACGCACAATGTAATGTATGTGGATTTATATGGATTGTGCTGATGCTAGTGATGGATGTTTATGAAATCTGCTCTTAGAGTCACTTGTGATGCTGAAATAAAGTGTGTGGTGGGCAGAATGCTGGGGGTATTTTATTTCCTGCAGACAGCGAATGCATCTCTTGGTCTGTGAGGAAGACTCATGTCGCCGTTGTCCCTCAACTTCTCCCCCTTCACCCCTTCACTGTTTCACTCTCTTCTTTCCCCCTTTGCTCTCATTTCCTCAACAAATCCCCCTTCTGTTTATTGCTCAGAACAACCGGGCTTTGTCATCACGATGCTTTTTACATATATTTGATGTCTTTAAAAGGATGTGATATAATTTTGGATTGAACCATTTTGTCGAGCTTTGATACCTCAGATTTTCTTCCTCCTCGTTTTGCAAACCTGCCCTTTATTCAACCCCATTTTTGAACCTATACGTTTACGGTTCGCTTACGCACACGTCATAGTAAAACTCCCCCCTGAACCAAACTCAACCCCCGTAAAGAACGCGACCCACACAACCCCCGCAGATGTTGGCTTTTTAGAAACTCAAAAAGCGCCGTAACAGACAAAGCAAGCGAGGCTCCTTGTGGGCCCCAACCTTCTATCCTCTCTCCTTGAGACGTGTGGCGTCGACCGGAAAGAGGAAAGAGAGAGAGAGGGAGGGAGAGATAGAGAGAGGGCTGGGGAGGAGGAGGAGGAGGAGGAGGAGGAGCTGTGTGTACGTGCAGCGCTGCACTGGTGTGTCACCCAGTCTGGGGGATTGCAGCCAGCTGCGTTGGGGGCACTGACCTTGGCAAAGAGCACTCTGTTTTTCAACCTCCGGGACAAACAAGTGTTGAATTTAAATGTTAACTGGGCAGCAAATAAAGGATTTACTGACATTAATTAGAGGGCAGATGCCACTGCTGAACTACGAAGTCAACTGCATACAAAAGTACAGATTTGGATAAAACATAAAAGAGGTAATTATGTTTCAGGAACGCTCTGGTCTTCTGTTCTATTCTAAATGTCATCTGACATGTTGTGCATTGTAAGTTATTTTGAGGGAAAACACGATAAAGTATCAACAGGATACAGGAAGGGAAGCTGTCAGGTTTATTTAATGCTGCAGGTGCATTAATGTGTGTCACGCTTGTTTTTTCCTTTAATTATGGGACATATTTGGTTTTGATCTCCTCGTATTGAGGCAACTTATTCTTTCTGACCAAATCTCTTATGTCCGTTACATTGTTGGATCACAGGCTAGTAGTTTGCACATGCGTGTGCTTGTATGTCTGATGAAGTCATGCTAACTTCCATTCCATATCCTGTGGGTTGTTAAAGCACGACAGGAACTTTCTTTATTCTATAGTCAAAGCCGAATACTAAATCGTCATTCATCTCTCATTGCTATGAAAACAATGGCGTCATTCCTGCAGTAAGATCTGACTGCACGCATCCCTGAGCAGACGCACAACCTGCAGGGATTGCGTTGTTACTTGGGAAACTTTACACTTTTTGTAAGCTGTATGACTTGAGAAATAACTGAGAAAACTTGATTTTATTTCCAGTAAACTACCCTTCCTCATTTATTCACACGTCACTACTATCGCAGTAAACTTCCTCCTCACATTTAGCTTTTTTCTTCATTGTCGACCAATTGCACATTACCAATAAATGGCGATGTGGTTTCCTGTTGTAATTTTGTTAACTGTTCTGATTTCTTTTGCCTTCCAACGGACCAAACGCCATTAAATATAAAAGTCTCTATTGTTTGGTAGTTTGTTTTGTTGTATTTTTTATTTCCTGTGTGACTTTGAAGTAAGGGCCGGAAATTTAAAATGTAACACGTCAACAAATGAGTTCAATGACTCAGCCGGCAGGCGGTCCGACACAATCAAACCTCAACGCATTGAAGCCCATCTTCTCTTTAGCTTTACAGCACTTTATGTCTTTTATCCTCCTCCAAATGAAGGAACAGTATCACACGTTTTTAACACGTTTTGGCTTTTAAAACAGAACGATGGCTCTGTTACAGTTCAGTAAATATGAAGCAATTTTCCAGAAGACAATTAGCTTCAGAAGGATCACGTCTTGTCTCTCCACCGTTTTGTTTATTTAGTCTCTTTAACACGATTCCCAAAATGTCAAAGAATTCATTGGAGTTCCTTGGATGAGGTGCATATGTTGGGAGAAGTTTAAATATTGTTTTGTCTAAGCCGATATTTACCCTAGACGTCAAAGTCTTAGCCGAATCAGCGGAGACACATTGTGTGCCGGGTCAACTTATAGTCAAGTTGATTTGTGCGTCAGTGTGCAGATGATCACACAGGAACTCTTGGTGTATAGTTTTATGTTCTGAGGGCACTTCACAGACAGACAAACAACGGTCCAATTTGCTGTTTGAAGACAACTTAAGGATCATGTCCAGATCCCGCTGTTTTAGTCTGCGTGTTATCGTTTGTATACATTACCTTCACTATATAATCTGGGGACTTGATGCATGACTTTGCATGTGTGTCAATTCTGTCTCCTACTAGCAAGTATTTAAATAAATGTCCCACTTCATGATTTTTCAACTGCTGTCGAGTATGATTTTTCCAACACTACATCAAGTGAATATGAGCATGTAAGGCACATTGTCTTTGTTGATGAGGCCCGTGAATGCCACGTGGTCTCTGAAGCCTCATTGCAGGCGACTGCTCGCGCTGAAGATGATCTCAATCTGCATTTTGGGCCTCCGTCGTGGCTGGTTGTGACGGCGCCGCGCTAAAAGCACCAGCTGGATTCTCTGTATCTGTAATCCGTCAGGGTGCGAGCTAAATCCACCAGCATAGACCCAGGCCTGGCTTTATAAAAGCACATTGCCTCATTTCACCAAGCACAAACGAACAGGTGGACAGTCATGTCAATCACAGGCAAAGCCTGGAGTTCAGCGCCGAGGTCAAAAGACTCCCACGCGGATCGTCGTGGGTTCATTCAGTCCGTCAAACTCCTTCAGCCCTAAGGTGGATATAAATGATACAAGTCGCTGTCCTCTGACAAAAACATCTTATATAGAACTGGGCCAATGTGCCCGTCTATACACTCAGTAGTCAAAAGTATGGAAACATTTTGTCATTCAGTTTAATGAGAATAAATAAATATATTCGATTATGTAGTGTACATAAGAAAAAAAACATCGACGTACCATCGACATTTCATACAGAGAGAGAGAGAGAGAGAGAGAGAGAGAGAGAGAGAGAGAGAGAGAGAGAGAAGGCGTGCAATGTGGGAGGAAGAGGAAGAGAGAGAGAGAGAGAGAGGGAGGGAGAGGGGAAGGGAGGTGACGGGCAGGAACCGGCGCCACCCGCCAGTACAACACAGAGAAAGGCCTGCTTTTTCGGGGGGTGGTGGTGGTGGTGAGGCACCTCAAACCAACACCCCAGGGCTTTTCTAATTTCTAAGGGAACAGAAACGCCGATGGGATTCGAACCCGCGAGACAACCCCGGAAGGAAGCAGCGCGCGCACCCTCCGACGGTCACGTACGCTTCGCGGCGGATTCGCGCTGGTGAGCTGCGGACTGATACGACAGCACAGCTGTTTGCTATTGACTTTAATGAGCAATATTGATCGCAAGGAGGCAAAGTTTGGTAATCGATAGGTGACTCCTGAGATCGGTGTTCAAACAGGTGTTTCATTAGGCGATATGAGATAGAAACGCCGTATTTAATTATTTACAACTAAGGTCTAATTTCTATGTAAATGAATTTAACAGTGAAATTGTTTTTTTTTGTGCTTAGTCCGCTGCTTTCCTTGATTAAACAGCTGCGATAAATGACCAAAGCCCTGAACAGACAAGCACTTAATTTAGTTTTTATTTCATTTTCATTGGGCCTGCAGCCTATTAATGTGACACCGTGTGTATGTTATTAACTGTGACGAGGAGGGGGGGGGGGTGCACTGTGCTATTAATAGGCCTAAAGTGTGTCCTTTTACTCTCCACAGCCATCCAGCGCTGCATCAAACCATGTTTGTTTACGACGGACACGAACAAAAAACCCGACTCGAGACTCCCGGTGAAACACACGCGAGAGGACTCGGACGTGAAACTTCACAGCGCCGCTGACAAAGCTTCTCTCCATCACAGAAAGCACTGGCTCAGCTAGAAGAAGGAGGAGGGGGAAAAATGAAGCGAGGACGTGAGCTACGTGCGCATCCTGCAGATGACGAGGTGAAATGGAGAGCTCGGGACACGCGGACCTTTTAAACCCGAGCTCCTCCCGCGGCTGCGTGGGACTTTCAGCGTCTCTGCAGAGAGGGACGGTCGGACAGAAGCAGCAGCAGCAGCAGCAGCGGCTCGTCCTCGGAGCCGCGGGGACTCGCCTCCCCGCCGCGCGTCCTGTGGACATGGGGCTCCACGGCTTCCGCGCGCCGCCGGCCGGCAGTCCGACGGCCGCGGAGCTGCTCGCCGGTTTGGCCTCGCAGACCGACTCGCCCGCGGTCGCCACCCCGACGAAGCGGCTGAAAACCGGCGTGCCCGTCTACGCCGGCGGCGTGGTGTCTCCCTCCGCCACCGTGGAAGGGAGCCACGCGAACGTCACGGCTCACACGCCGAGCGGCTACCCGCCGCGCGTGAAGGAGGTGGCCCCCGCGTACCCGCTGACCAGCAGGGCCTGTCTGGTGGAGAACGGGGACCAGGCGCCCCACGAGAAGTGCCCCCCGCCGGTGAGGAGGATCAACGGTGACCTGAAAGCCCGGCAGGCGCAACAGCAGAAACGGAGAGGTGGGGAGAACTGGGACGTGGGGCCGGGGACTGTCAATGGCTTCACGTCAGGCTCCTTGGGTTCGGGAGGTGCCGTGGAGCCGGCCCTCGCTTTGGGAGACTTTGACTTCAAACGGAGACGGCTGGCAGATGGGGTCGTTGCTCACAGATCTCCAGAGGCCTCCAGAGTGGCCCAAGCTGCCACGGACCGCAGCGGTCACGAGCACCGCGTCCCTCCCCAACCTCCCTTCGAACATAAAGTGGTCCCCCCGGGCCCACCGGCTGCACCCGGCCAGACGTCCCCCATCCAGGCTAACCGCGCCCCGACCCCGGCGGGGGCGGGCAGGTCGGCCGATCACATCGCCCAGCAGTACATCGTCCCCTGCATGAAATACTACGGCATCTGCGTGAAGGACGACTTCCTGGGCCCTCAGCTGGGCGGCAGGGTGCTGGAGGAGGTGGAGGCCCTGAACCGCGGCGGGAAATTCCGTGGCGGGCAGCTGGTGAGCCAGAAGAGCATTCCCTCCGGGAACATCCGGGGCGACCAGATCGCCTGGGTGGAGGGACGAGAGCCCGGGTGCGAGACCATCGCGGCGCTGATGGCTTACATTGACGAGTCAGTGATGTACAGCGCCGCCAATGGACAGCTGGGCGACTGTATCATCAATGGACGCACCAAGGTGAGAACAGGAACAGGGTGGGGTCGGGGGCGAGGAAGGCCGTGTTTTCCATCTTCAATCCAGAGAAAACAGAAGTTACAAAACACGCCAGTCAGTCTGTTGACGTCATTCAATTTGCAGCAAAATGGTTAGTTGTTTCACGTTTTTTTTCCGCTTTTATCTCTGCTTCTCTGATGCCGACATGCAGGCAGGCAAACACACACACACATACACACCGCACAATGGGGGAGAGGGGCGGAGGGTCGGGTAGGACGTCAGGATGAGCCCCGCTGTGCTTCACGTGCACACGTGAGCTTGATACCGGGGGCTGCGGGCCGAGCCTTCCCCCTAAACTGGCCGTGGGCCTGAGGTTTAGATGCCGTCCCTGTCTTCATACCCGGATAAAGAAAAGAAAAAAAGCCTCTCCGTATCTTCTCTGCCATCGGCACATCTCTGCCTTTGAAGCTGTGACGCTAAAGCTGTAGGAGCTTTTGTGTGTTTGTTTATTTACTCTATGTGATATCTCATGCCACGTGAGCTGTATGTTTTCCTAACCCGTGACCACCATGCATGCCCCAGCGTCTCCTCTCCATTTATATATTTTTCGAATGCCCTGCACACGCATGCAGCTGCAAACCAGATACGGTCTTGCGGACAAAACCGCGGCGGATTTTCTTCGTATTATTCTGAGCTCACATAACTTGCAGTTTGTCCCTTTCTCCGTCCTGCACACGGCCACGGACATTGTTTGCAGGACAGTGGAACCTCTGAACTTACTGTAGTGACGCAGGCCTGGGTCAACATAACACCAGCAATGTCAGCGAGCCTCTCTGGAACACGACTCTCCACCCTGAATCTATCTGCTAAGAAAAAGACAACTGTGGGGAAACTCCTTGAATGCTGTTGCATGCAAGTTGACAACCCTAGGCCCTTTTCTGCAGTTGTTGCGTAATCAATTATAAACACGACTGTTGAGTAAATGTTTTTACTTACATAATTCACATTTAATGACTAAATGAACACAGATGTGAACGGTTGTCCTTTGGCACGATAGTTTAACCAATCCACACAGCATCTTTCCGTCAGTGCAGGCCTGTTTGAGGTCATGTTTAAACAGATCCATGAACCGGTCTCATTTAGAGCACCTTAGAGTGCAAATTACTTTGAACTTCTGTATTCAGCTCATTTGGTTGTTGCTACCCATCATACTGGAACGGAAGCCGGTGTGGTCTCTTTCAAATTGAACAGGAATTAAGAACAAGAGCAGCTGACTCTTTGCCAAATGTGTGTTCACGCCTGCCACGTTGTTTCCACTGCACTATATCTATCTATGTTTATATATGTGTGTCTATACCTTCAAGGCGCTTATCAACATGTTCCGTGTGTTAATCTAGTGCCAAATGGCGACTCTTCCATTGATCTTTAGCCTCAGGGTGGTAAAAAATAAACTGATGAGCGAAAATGGAAGCAATTGATGAATAAAAGGGGATGATCAGGGAGGAGTACATCCTCATGGAAGGTCACTGCCTCTTCTTTTCCTTCAATTCTATTCTCTCCTTTTATTCTGACCTCCTTTTCCCCATTTCCTGTCTTTCACGCCCTCTCTCCATTTTATCAACCCCCTTGCTCGCCACTTAGACCAAATATTTCTCGGCGGTTACCTTGGTAACAGGCCCATACAGAGGGGCGCTCTGCATTGTGTATGAAAGAGGTACAGAGAGACGAACAGGGATTGGCAATGCCCAAAATAATACTGCAACAGCAGTGGAAATGATCTCTGGACCGCAGCTGTGAGACGTACAGAAGGATGCATTAAGATGTTAACAATGGAATAGATTTTCAATTAAAACGGTAAAGGTGGAAATGTCTTGTATTGTGTGGAAGCGACTGCGCAGGGAACGAGACACGAAGGGGAGGGAATAGACTGGAAATGAGAAGTGGGGAGGGGGGGCGAGGAGTGGGCGTTGAGCGAGAAGGAACGGCCGATGCAGCAGAACATCGACATAATGAGAGTCTGCTGCAGCAGCTCGTCCTCAGACGGCCCGCTCAGAGCGCGGCAGGCAGGAGCCGGGAGTCCTGAACTTTTACACACAATGCGGCAACGGAGCTTTGAAAGAACGATGGAACACACATGATGAGTAGAGACGTTCACGTTGTCCTTTTGGTATTGGTCTAATATGAGTTTAGATAAATTAAGACGTATCCAAGACTTTTGGATCCAAGGTTACTATAACATCAGAAGTCACGAGCAACATACACTGTAGAAGTGACTAAGAGGCGACTAGCTGAATAGTGAGCCAGGAAGTCACCCACATTTATATAAAAACAAATCAACAACCAGTGTTGATGGTGATCATAGTGTACCTCAGCCCCGCCCACCCAACACACATGTTCTTCCTCTCTTCCACCTTGACAGGTCACACCTGAAACCCCCTGTCCCTCCCTCACCATCATCCGAGTCAGCCTGTTCTGCCCTGGCGTTCACGGTGTCTACCCGGTGCGGGAGGACATCAGGCCATTAGTGATCCTAACCCTCAGAGCGCTGAGGAGGAGGCGAAAGGAACGGCGAGGGCAGAGATGAGAGATAGGATCGAGACGTGCCGTGTCCCGCTGCGTGACTGAATCTGTGTGGACATTGTGTCTGTTTTATGTGTGTAATGTGTTTACGCTGAAGGCTAAAGCTGACGAGGCATATTTCATGTTAATTGTAATTAATGAAAGTTGCCATTTTGGTAAAGTCAGGTTGTTAACCAAACGTTAACTGTTTTGGGTTTCCTCAAGTACACCAAAATAAAGGCCCCGGGCGCCAAAACCGTCGGCCCGCTGCGGTCAGACACGAGTTTCAAACAGCCCATGCCTTGACTGGGCAATGCCACTGGGTCTTACTCAATGTCATGAAGAGTTACGGGCACATGTGAGCCAAAGGTCCTGAGTAACGGTTCTGACTGCGAGCTTCCGTCAGTAATGAGAGCTGACAATGGCGGCCTAACCGAGTTCACGGCTGTGAATGAGGAGGTGAACACCACAAGAGGAGGAGGGGGAGGACTGACTGATGCCTCCATCTACACAGACGGGAACAAGCGTGTTTGTCTTTGAAATCTGTGGTTGAGATTCTCTGACTGTATCACAAGAGCTTAAAGGACGGCGTCGAGTTGGATCGATACTTGTTACTCGTGAACGATAGTGTCCCTGAACAGCTCAAGTGATGCAGCGACTCCTGATATTGTGACTTGTGCTTCCCGGGCAGAGCGTTATATGTCCGGACAGCGACTGTATCTTCTTCAGTAGACTGAGGGGAGCCTATTAACCGGCACGCTGCCCACTATCCTCTCCTGGTGTCTCCGCACAGGCCGATGTCAGTCAGTGAACCACGTGTTCCTCCTCCGTCTCACCACAGCAGCTCAGGACACACGGCTCAGAACCGTCCTCCCCGGCGGTGCTGTTTTGAGTCCCGCGTGGTCCCGTAGTGGCTGCGGTCCGGAATGCGCGTGGACCGAAGAGCTCTCGCGCTGGTCTCGGTCACCTCGGGCTCTCCAGAGAGAGCAGAGAGCAGAGCCCTCCCGCTCCACGGCCTCCCGACACAAACTCCCGCTCTGGGCAGCGCGTGCGCTTTTCACAAATGACATTCTGGGATATCGTGCAAAACACGCAAAAGAGCACAGCCGGTAAACCGTTTAGCATGGAGCAGTGCGAGAGCCGTGTGGAGGGGGGTTGGGGGGGGAGACGCTGAAAGGAGGAGTGTGCAGGGTGGGGACGCAACTTAAAACGCTCTCTCGCGTGCGAAGCGTGAGGGAGAACAATGGTGGCCATGCCGGCTCCGTGACGAGGACTCGCTCCGTGTGTGGATGTAAACGGCGTCTCCTAAGGAAACAAAAACACAAAGCAAGGGTGCCGCACAACGGCCCTTTAATTTACTGCCATCTCAACCAGATGGACGGTGGGCAGGCAGCTAACGACTCCTTTCCGTCTGTTTCAGGCCATGGTTGCTTGTTACCCGGGCAACGGAGCGGGTTACGTCCGACATGTTGACAACCCAAACGGGGACGGACGCTGCATCACGTGCATCTACTATCTCAACCAGGACTGGGACGTCAAGGTGCATCATCTACATTAAGATTGATAGTACTTAAATTCTGAAAAACGTTGATTTAAAACTATGGTAAAAAGACCAGTACACGTTATAGGGAATGAGTACCATCAAAAAACCACTTGTATGATGAAATGTCTTAACTTCTTTGTGACCGTGTGTTTGTAGAAACAAGGAGGGCTGCTGCAGATCTACCCTGAAGGTAAAAATGTGGTGGCCAACATCGAACCTCTGTTTGACCGGCTGCTGATCTTCTGGTCGGACCGCAGGAACCCACATGAGGTCAAGCCAGCCTTCGCCACTCGGTCAGTGACTCCTAAGCACACAGCCAACTGTATGACACTTTATGCTGCAAATACATACACGTCATACACACCGTCTTTAGTTAGAATGGAATTGAAATTGAAATGAGTTCAAATGATTCATCATATAACAAGTTTGTATTGATTTATTACACAAGCCCAGCAGGTTAAATAGCGGAAGAGAAACACTGATCGAGCTTTAGCGTGGAGTCCTGCCTCTGCTTTCTTCTTCTATCGGCGATGTTTATTTTTATAACAATTATAACAATTATAAATCAGTTAAAAACTACATTTTATTGAATCAACAAAATTGGCCCAATACACTGAACCTTTCACTTGCACATGTGCTGGTATTCGCATCATCGGACCGGGTCGCTGTGTCTGTGACACATTTTACTCTGGGATTATCTCCTCGTCTCCATCTGACAGCTGGGGGGCAAGGTGGGACCGGAGGCAGGAAGTGCGTGTTTCCTGTGGGGGGGTCAGTGGGAGGGACAGAGGGAGAGGAAGGTTCGATAGCAGGACTCGTGCTGGAGAGGCCCCCGACATGAGACAGGAATAAACAACACAGCTGCAGGAGTGGAGGATTAACTCTCCGCTGCCCGGGATCCCTCCTTTAGTCGGACTTAAAACATGTTATCGTCATCCGCTGTGTCTAGCTGGAATTTGCCTATTTTTGCCTGTTTTATTAAAAAGAAAAAAAACCCTTTGTTTTGACTTCAATTCCAGGGATTCCTTTTCTATCACAACCATTTCATAGAGCAGTGGTTCTCAACTGCTCTGGCTCCGGGACCCACCATCACCCCTTTAATGACAAGCCGCGACCCAAATCGAGGAACATTCTCAACTTCTCAAATTTATTTAATGAAAATCTGGTGCAGTTTGAACCTGAGATAGTATGGAGACAGAATACGTATGCCAACACAAAAACAAGTTTAATGAAAAAAACAGCCAGCTGGTAGCGGTGCTAGAGAGGGAACTATTCCCCTTTACAGTCAATTAGCTAAAAACCCCAAAGTATAGCTTAGGAACACAAGGTATTACAACATACATAACAATTAAGAATCTTCAGCCATTTCAACAACAAAAAAGTCGAAAAAAGACACAAATGACCTAACTTTAACAGATCAATGACAAACGCTATGTCTTGAGGAGCAGCTTTTGCACAAATTCAAAATAAATTAGATAAACCTGGCACACGCTGCTGAAAACATGGACGGATGAGCCGGCAAAAAAAACGACACTCCGCTGCATTAAAAAAGTCCCTTCAAAATATAATCACAGGATGAATATTTCTTTTTTAATTCAAATTTTTATTTTCTCAGGCCCATTAAAAACGGGTCCTGAGTCGCGACCCACCAGTTGAGAATCACTGTCATGGACCCTTGATGGCAGCAAGCACAGTAAAAGTTTGACGGGGAGACAACCGCTCTTGTCCCAGTGTTGATAACATCTCTGTGCTCTTCTGTGTACAGCTACGCCATCACGGTTTGGTACTTTGATGCCAAAGAGAGAGCAGAAGCTAAAGAGAAGTACAGATTGGGTAAGCTGCTTCACATCACCTCTGGTCTTATTCCACATCCCGGCCCGTGTGACTAACATGCGCTTTCTCTGTCGCTCGTGCAGCTGCCGGACAGAAAGGTGTTCAAGTGCCCGTCTCGCAGAACAGCAGGAAGTGAGTTAATGAGCTGATCACTGGAGAGCACTCTGACAGTAAACGTGCCTTTCCCCGAACTGCTAATGAACATCGCCATCAACAAAAAGAGAGACCGTCATGGCCGCAGGTCTGTGGTGTCCAGCGCAGGATCCCCTCCACGGACTCTGGTGTTTCACCGCCGTGGGGGCAGAGACGTTGCGGATAGAGAGCACAATGGACTGGATTGTGTGACGAACGCAAAATAAGAACTTTCTAACTTTTATGAATGAAAAAAAAAAAACAAGCAGACTCCCTCATTTTATTCTGCTGCAGTTTTGCCTGTTTGGTTGCAATTGATGATGTGGAGTTTTGAGAAGGCTTTTTTTTTCTTCTTTGCACTCTGGTGTAGTTGAATTTGTCAGTTCAACTACAAGGATCATAAATTATGACTCGGTAGACAAACAATGGGGGGGGGGAGCGTGCGAGGAGTTGAAAGCACCGGCCCCCGTCCTTCTTTTTTTTCCCTGCTTCCTGTGATGTTGTCCCCGTTGTCAGTGCCAGAGACGGAAATATTACAAACCCTGCTATTTGGAAGGCGTGCTGACCCTACTATGGGCGGAAGGAATGCTTTGTTTTCTTATTTTATTGAAGCACTTAAAGAATTGACTCATTCAATTTCAATGTTTTCTCACAGATTTTGTTAAAATGGCTAAACATGATGACGAAAGTGCTCATCGTAAAAAAAAAATGGAGCAGAATCTGGGGAAAAGATTTGAGGGGGGGGAGACGGCTCAGTTGTCAGTGAGGGCAGTAATAGTGAAGCTCTGCAACTATATAAGATTTACCAGCCGTTCGGGATGTCACAATACCAGATGTTTATGCCATTGAATTTTTACTGTTCTCAATCATTTTATTATTATTGTACTTCAACAATATTACCTTTTGCATCCAGCTTTAAGCACTTAGTCCAAACATTACAGGGTCGCACTTCCAAACTCTACACTCAAGTTAAACTCAACATCGCACACTAAGTAAAGTTCAAGGAACTATTTCTGGACTTTATTACAACATCAAGCGGCGACAAAAAAAAACGTTTTGCAGCGGCCTCGAAATGCTCGCGCAGAAGCGTTGAGGAATCCGCCGTGGACGCTGCTTTATTTTTAGCTGCAATGTTTGAAGACCACTCAAAGGTTTTTCTACGTAACGGATAACTGCAGTACGCTGTGTGTGTGACACGGCTCACACTCACAGGAGCAAGCTTTCCAGGGATAAGGGTCAAAACAGGGTGTGATGAAACTGTGTGTGTGTGTGTGTGTGTGTGTGTGTGTGTGTGCGTGCTCGCTCGCTCATTAGCCTGTGTGCACATCCGGCTTGACTCTTATCTGTTCTTCACATGATGGAAACAGCATCTATCAGCAGTCTGGACACTGTCAGACAAACCTGCCCAGACAAAAGACCATCTACGGAATAAAACACGGACATACGCGTCTACTTAGCTGAACTCCAGGGTCAAACGATTGCCTTCTCAGGTGTGGGATGGATTTTTATGTAAAAATGAACATGTATGTGTATATTTCCGCTGTCTTAAAGAGAGCGGCAGGTTATTGTCTCACTGTATTCTACATTGGTTAACTAGCACTTTATTGTTTGAACTGCCGTGCGTGAATGAAGGTAACGCCTTTTGTGCTGTGGATTATTATTGGTCATTCAAACGCAATAGAAACTAAAACAATGAGATCAAATGGAGTTTGTTTCCCTAGTTCATTTTGGAGTATTAAATTAAAACCTGTTTGTTTTCGCGCACAAATGATTTGCTATTGACTTACTGGGAATACGATAGTAGCCGGACCTTTTACTTGTGAACACGATGTTTCTCAACACCTTCAGTGGATTTCTTTAAACTCTACAGGAATGTCAACTTGCTATCGACGTAAACCGATTAGGGTTTGGTGGTCCTCGTGAACTCACAAAACACACAATGGGCCATATCACACGTATGCAATTGTGACAATTGAACATATCTAATGATGATAAATGATGTGCTGACATTTTGGACGGACATGGACGGGAACTGGAACAGGAAAGGTTGGCGGAGGCAAACGTGAAGGGGAGTTAATTATAGTTACAACTGAATTCATCAGTCTGTCATTTGCTGCACTGGGGATCAAAATCACAGGCTCTATAGAATATGGACATAGTCTACATGATGATGGACTCTGTTGTATCCCAGGATGTCTTCAGCTCGCATTGGTGGGGCCGGAGGGGCCCTCAGTTTAACGGGTTGATGCCTACACTCTTACAATCTTGATTTACAATACGTAAAGGATGTTGTATTTTGTACAGCCTTTGCCCTCCAGTCTGTTGCTAGAAGGGCAAAGCTGATGTAGTGTACACAATACTTTAGCATAAAGCTCAACGCACACAACGGTTACACAAACCTGAAATGCCACGTGAACCTCTGACAGAGCTGTGAAATAAGGAAACTTCAGTCACATAATGTGTTAAGCCTGAAACAATCAACGTCAGCCAGTTAACCAGATGAGTCAAAAGGAGATTTATTAACAAAAATGTAATAATTGATCGGGTGTTGCTGTATGTTACAAAGTAGCTACCAATGTTGATGTTTAGGTTGACACTTTGGACTGTGGGGAACAGCGATGGGACATTGCACGATCCTATATTACACCTGTGTGTTACTCCGACCTTCTCAGTTATGACAGACGACGGTGCAACAACATTGTTACAAATAATAAATGGTCCCTCGAAACACTGAAGATGTTTTTCATTACGCATACTGCACAATGTACACACTGATACACAATAATCAGTGTTGTAAAATCCCTCACTGGAAAATAAACCAGTACCACACTTTCTCTCTTAACACGTAGACGTGTGTGTGTGTGTGTGTGTGTGTGTGTGTTCGTGTTCAAATCACCAGTCGGGGACAAATCTACCCCAGAAGACTGGTGTGCTTCCGTTGATAACAGGTTGTTGTTCCTACACACCGTGGATATTTGTGTGAGTTGCTTTAACTACTTTTAAATACAGTATCATCCCCATTTTAAATGGTTCTGATGTTGGTATTAATACAAAAAGCAATCGCTGTTTTCTCTCGATACTTTGCTTTGAGAATATATATCGGATGCATTTTATTACTTTATTTTCGTAGAACAAAAGGGGCCAAACTTATTACAGCGGCTCTTAGACCTCAAGACTTGCATTGTCTTCTTTGTCTTTCATACTTCCACTGCTTTTAGTCTACATGGCAAATGTTCTGCCGTGGTCTTTCTCCCCCTCGTGGGCGGTTTCATTCAATGCAGTTTAGGTGTAATTCTTCCTGCAGAGCACCGTGATAACCACCAGATGTCCCTCCATGGCACAACATGTCCTCATGTGTCTTTCTGAATGGCAGTCTTTGTGGACTCACTGCGTGTGTAGCCGAATCTCTGCCTCCATTATATCTGGAATGTGTGGATTGTGATAGAACATCTACACACACACACACACACACACAGCAGTTAGTGGTTAGCAGACGCAGTTAAAAGCATGTGAACTTGCATAATGGAATCACAGCCTGTACTTGCTTGGTAACATATTACTCTACAGCGTGTCTCATTGTTTTACTTTCCAGCCACTCTTTGTTGGGCTTCACCGGGATCTTAGATTGCATTTTCACCCTTAAGTTATAATGATGCAATCCTTCCAAATTGTTACTCTTACTATAAATAGTTATCGTGGTGTAGAAATAGCTCATAGATAAGCATGGCTATTAAGGCTTCTACCATTGTGCCATTTATTATACGTTAAGAATAATAGATCTCTCAGAAATCAAGCCTTATTGTATTCTTATTTATTTATACTTATTTACCTCTGTCTCACGGCGGATTTGTTGGTGTAATGTTTAACAGGAAACAGGCCACTTCTGATGGCATGCATATAATTAAGATAATGAAGAGGTTATTTTAATGAGGGACGGTTTCATACCTAGTTTCAATGGATCATTTGAGCAGGACGGCAATAGGCAGAAGTGCACTTTGATCAGAAACACATTTTAATTATGCACCAAACAAGTTATTTGACTTTTATTTAAAGCTGAGGCCAGATAGTGTTAAGGTTTTTCTGTCCAGCTCATAATCCTGAATGTATTTCCGTGCATTTGAGCGTGATTAATTCGGAAGGACAAGTTGGTAATCTTGTCTTTATTAAGGAAAAGGTAACCATGTCTGAACGTCAAAGCAAAAACAGCAGGGCAGCTGTTTGCAAATGACCTTCTGTATTTGAACATGTGAGTTCCAGGCAGACATTGATTCATGTCTGGTGCAGTAAATGCTTTTGTTTGGCCACCCTCCTCTGATCTTGAAATTCAATTGCAGGCGGATTGACATGAGATGCTGCGAGAGAGTTGTGCTGCTTTTATATCAGGTAAAAAAGTTATCACTTCCTAACCTAAAAACACATCAACACTCCCACGTGACACAAAGTCATTATTATTGGTAATAACTGTGTCATCACGCAACCTGCAGAAAACGGGAGCATGTTCCATTTCCTGTTTGGCAGCTTTGAGTCTGTAAGACATGAATGCGTTTCAGCCTCAGGCTCCTGATCAATGTCTCATAAAATGCCAGTTCTTAGTTTGTGTTGTGTTGAGAGAACTCGTCAAGAAACACACACACACACACACACACACACATGCCCACACACAAGTAATTATGAAAGAAAACCCTTGGATAGTTGATACTTCAATCAGTTGATATAGAACATGTGTCTTTCATTCCTCTAATGTCACCTGTCTGCTGTGCCAAGGAACACAGAGATTTCTCTGTAATGCAAAATTAATTTGACATTTTCTCTCCTCTTCCCAGTGAAACAGTTTTTTCCTGTCAGAGATGGACCCTGGTGGGTTCCAATTACATATTTTACAATGCCATGTCTATAATGGTTAGATTTTCTGTTTTTGGAGAATGACGCCTACGAGGGCCACGGCCGAGAAGACTTTCAGTTTTAGTGAGACGAGGACTTTTGTATAATACTCGTTAAATTGACCAATTTAATTTAATTTCTGGTTTCACTAAAATTGTTTTGTTTTAAAGGACTACTGTGTCCTTCTGGCTGTGGAGCAAAAATGTTTGCCCGACTCAGTGAAACGGTATCGTAATCATATCCTCCTGGAGAGAGACAATCAAATCAGCAGTAAATCCGCTAACAAATAAATATGACCAAGCGGAAGCAGTAGGATTCTTGCTCAGGATATGCAGCACTGCCTTTAACAGGTCCTCTAGGGTCACATCTGTAGTTGCCATGGGGATGGATTTTGTACCCAGCATACCTGAGAATAATTGAGTAATTTCAGGTGGTTCTTGCCATCTCGCCTGGGCTGTATATCTATTATAGTCAAATCAATACCCTGTCTCCTCACATATATGTGGAGTCCACAGAGTTGAGATGCAACACTAAACACCCCGGACACACCCCTGTAATCCATGTATTCCCATTCGGTATTTATTTGATTTTCTAATAATAAATACGTGTTTATTAACCTGGCATATGTTCCTTTGCTAAGAGATATTGTGTACATGTTTCGGTAAGTGAGAGAGTTAAACTCACACAGGCACTGAGGTCACCTCCTTGTATAAGAGACAGTGGGAGATGTTCACGCGCGCTTGGGGAAGTAAGAAAGAGATGGAAGAAGTAGAAGAAAAAAGAAAAAGTGTACCTGTAACGTGGCGCTGATGCACACTTCTTACACGTTACCTGAGGAATAAAGCATTCTTCTAAAAACAAACGCACGCCTGGATGTCACGTTTTTGCACTGATGTGTGTGTGTGTGTGTGCAGAATGCCAGACATAATTGAGGATAGACCAACTTGACACACGCAATTGAATGTGTCTCTTCGTCCCAGGGGAGCCATGCAGCGGGACGGTTCTCACGGGACAGGGTGAGTTGGAGCACCTCTCCTGGGGGCATCTCCAACACAGGGGTAGGCTTAGACTGTCTGACCTGTTTGTCTGACCTCGGCCCCGTCCTCCATCGGGCCCCAAAAGCCCTGTCTCTTCTGGCGCCTGCCTATGCAAGCCCCCTCAGCCAGATCTTTTCAGGTTTGGTCTTGAAAAAGCAACGGCAAATAACTGTACCATGTTTGGACCAGACTGAAATCTGACATGAAATAAAGACATTGGTGATCCATAAATCTTTTCAATTTATTTTCCTCAATTCAATTCGTGGATTATGAAACAAGATGATATGTGGGATAGGGGCACTATGGAACAGGGGCAAACAATTTGAAGAAGCATGTCATGCTTGCTCCAGATGTGGCAGCAATACATCCATCGGGTGACATTGGGAGATTGTGCCAGTTTATCTAACCGATATGGAAGCGCCGAGCACCATCCAATCTACTATTGCAGCAAAGAGCTAAAGCCAACGGGCATTAGAAGCGGATTAGGCCGCCATGTGGGCCTGAGAGGCGGAGGAGAGATGTAGTGATATTTGTGGGGGATGTTCACTGAAGGAAATACAGATTGAGGAAGCAGAGATTGTTTGGTTTGGTTGCATGCACTGCGCGGTGTATATTAGCGAAACGCCTCCGTGCCGCCCCGGGTTGTGATAGATTAATGAATTATTCTCATAGCCCGAGGAAACAAAGCTCTGCTGTAGTGTAATGGTACAGCGGCTTGGATCTCTTGCCAGACAGAAGCCGCCTGAACGGTTGTGTTATTCTTGTCCATCAAATCCTTTGAGCTCTTCACAATCACCTCGTGTCACCAATATCACTGGGACGTGAAAGAGTACGAGTACACAAGTGATGCTTTGGGCGTTTATTAATACATTCCTTCAATCAGCATCTCTTTGTTTTACTGATGTTGAGCAGTACGTTGCTCTATGAGCACAAGTTAGTTTTATGACGGAGATTTTCTGTACTTAAACGTTACTTAAATGTTGGTTGCAAACATCAAAACCACTAAAAACAGTAGCACCCTCAAGCCATCTTCAGTGCTTTTGGAAAAAACGTATTCCTCCAATGAAAGTTGTTTCAGGGTTTAATGAATGGATGAACCTTGTCTTTCCCCAAATGTATCACGTATTATAGCTGCCCCCAAGTAGCCCCCCATTTCATGGGCCAACTAAAGTAGGGTCTGCAGACATATTTTTGTGTTACGCAACCCGTATGCTACACACAAAACCCCATTCATGAGCAGAGGGAGAGAGCAGAGAAATACCCGTCGCTGCTTAATGCTGTGTAACAGTGAGTCAGCTATTTGGATTGTAAATTTTGCATTTTTCACCCTCGGCCTACACACACACCTACAGAGGGCTCACTCCGCAATAAACGTTTAAAACCTCAAAGGCTGGGAATGTCTCTGCACAGATGAGTTTCATGAGTCTATCTTGACATTTCAGACTTAAAAGAAGCCAGCAAACGTGGCAACAGAAACCGAACAATTGTGCCTTTTCCCCCAGTTCTTCTTGTTCTTCAGGCGCGGTCCTTATCTACACAAAGAAAGCCTGTGAAACAGACCTGGGTAGGATGAAAAAAGAAAGCCAGAGTCAAAGAGTGGGCTTGCTGGTGAAAGGAAGAAATTCTGAGCTCCTCCACGCCATACAGTATCGTATGACCTCCAAGGCAAGACTGGAAGGAGCTGGAGAGGAAAGAGGAGGAGGGTGGGCGGGGGGGGGGGTGTGTGGATCTCAGCAAATCAGAGCACTGCCTCGGTTGGTCCTGCTTGTACTTCCCAGGCCTGAATGTTCCCTGCAAATGTCCCGTGGACAGATTGTGTTCTATGTGTGCTTTTGCTCCACAGTTTAACCGACCTCTCAAGTGTGTCTAAGCCCCAGTAAGACCATTAAAAGCACACAGTTTCAGCGTTGGTCTTAATAATGGATTGTAACTGGCTGACAAGATTTGTTTGCCAAAAAAGCCAGCAGGGCGGGTCAGTACTCAGGCTACAAAGTCAATTGTGTCATGCCTAAGTATGCACGGCATCTTTCTCTCTGTTTCAGAAATCTACGTCTAGTAAGCAGATAACCTCGTGTGTTCTTTGGTTTCTTGCGTCGCCTCGTCCCCGATTCTGACCTTCAGTGCGGCCATACGATTATGAATGAAATGAAAACAAAAAAGCAGCAACGTATTGTTGCAGGGCTGAGCTGTGTTCATGACTGTGCAGGAAAGCAAGAGTCTGCGCAGAGGACAATCACACCCGGGCGATTTCTCTCCTCTGTGTGTTATTGATCGACCTCGGCCAAATGCAGGTCATTTAAGTACACAACGTGACTCACACGTTGTGTGAATGTTATTGCCACATTCGGCCAACGCGGTAGTGATATTCATGCACATGAATAGCTTGTATTGTTTTTTTTCGGTCCTCCTTTTACGACGGCACAGAGGGAGGGTTGACGGGCTGCCGTGTCCTGAGGCAGAGAAGCAGGGTTTGTGTTGACGTGCTACATGGACTGCTATGACCTCTGCTAACTCACTCGGAAAGATCAAATTACTAACTGTGAGCGCAGGCACAAAATGTCATTTTTTGTCCTTTGTTTTTAACAGAAGGGGGAGATAATTAAATCAAAAGCTGAAAAGAATGAAAAAAAACACCCGAGACTTCATCCCTGTTGTGTTTGCAAGCAGAGCATTAGCAGCCAGAAATCTACCACACTTTGGAGATAAGAGGAGACATTCGCTAGATTTAGCGTACAGTGTAGTTTGTCAGCGTTTCCCAGTAACAAAAGAGCAATAACAAACCAAGGTAAAAGGGGTGTTGCGGTGGAAGGGGGAGGAGCAATTGAAGCTTGAACATTTGGTTCACAAAAACAGGTTTCCAACACATGGTGCGGTCCCAAAACGCCTTTTTCCTTTTTTCTTATCAAGACGCCTTGTGCAGATGTACACTGTGTGTGGGTAATTCACCCGAGGTGTTAATAGGCCTGTATGGGGGAGGGTACTGTGAGAAAGAGTATGGCTGGGGCTCCAAAAAGCTGCACAGCTACATGAAGTTCTGCACATAAAAATGCTCTCGAACAGATGCAGGCACCATTCTTTCTCCCTCTCTCTCTCTCTCCCTCTCTCTCTCTCCCTCTCTCTCTCTCTCTCTCTCTCTCTGTGTGGACTTCATTGATATGACCGAAATGAAAAAGACAGTAATTCGTTCAGATAACGGGATCACTTACTATGAACTCAACGTGTATCTGCACTAAAAGTCATTAAAGGCAGGGGGCAAAAGACACAAGGGGCATGTGAGTCTCATTAGAGAGTAAATCCGTGAATAATTTCAGGGCGCCCTACTGGTCAAATAAGACTGGAAGATCAGACAGGGTTTAGCAGCGATCCCGTCACTTCTGGACTACTTGTGTAACGCTCATGTTCAATTATTTTGTTTTCATGACCCCGTACTACAATGCTGGTTTATGAACACACATGCTTCTGATTTTGTGGAAGCTTTTATTGTAAAACCCTTTACAAACTACATTGTCCCTTGCGGGGGAACTTGCAGTCAGTGGGCGTCTTTGTGTGCAGCCCCTTTGGTCCTGCTACACATGACAGTCAAATTCAGTTACTGGATGTTAAATTAAGCCGCGGTATTAAGTTTCCTCTCCGACGCCACCTTTCCAATCTATTGTCCGTGCCCCTGTTTCTCAACTGTTCTCATGATACCTGAGACACATGCAGTTTTTTTCAGTTTGTCCCAGTTGCAGAGGGTCACGTGACTGTTGTTCTGTCTGCCAAATGTATAACATTAGATTAGATTTGAATGACTTGACTCCTGGAAAGTTGTTGACTCCTCCAAACATCGCAAGGGCATACACAATGCACAACACACCATGAAAATATGCAGCAACAAAGGGGGAAAAAAGACAATTGAGCTTTTCCCATTTAATCACGGTTGCATACACGCTCTCTTCCTGGTTTCAGCATTGATTCAAGTACTTTGTGAGTATTTCTTAGTCCTTCTTGTTCAACGGTAAAAGATCACATTTTGAAATTTGCTGTCACCGCAAAATCTCATGTCCTCACATTTGTGTGTGTGTGTGTGTGCATTGTGTGTTTTCATAGATGGGGCCTCCTCTCTCCTGAGCCTGTGGGTTTAGCTATTGAAGTTGTGCTCTCTCACAGAGTGAAGCACTATTTCACAGAACCGCAGTGATATCCTTCACACAGTCAGGGGGAACAAAGCACGAGATTGAGATAACAAACTGACCACTGAGAGAGAACGTATTTCTATCAGCCGGTTTATGGCCCTGTGGGGTTTATTTGCTGTTTAAAGGTGCTTTTCTCACAAAGTTCTACTGGTGGAGCTTTGTTTAAAAGCAGCTCGGTGTGTTGTTTGAGCGTAAGATAACCCCAGGCCTTCTTACTAACCTTACTAACATACTAAACTATCACACTGGAGTCCTCAGTATTTCAGACAATGCCAGTCTCTTTACGGGTTGAAACACATCTTCCCAAAAAACTGCAGGACGATATGCGTGCAACTATGATTTCTAGAACATTGGACACTGATCTATGACGGCATGCATCCCGAGGACGGATAGGAGAAAAATGTGGTGAATTTACCTGCCATTCAAATGACGATGGATTAGATTAAGTTCATTGCTGTGCTTGTGGATCCCTTTGACGGTATAAATACAACACAAATGGTTCTCTTTGTTTAATGGGTACTTGGGAGGAGAGCAAATAAACACACATGGGAGGTCTCTTCACAGTTCCAGTAGCAGGCTGCTGTCGGGCAGCTGTGTGGGCGAAGCCTCTGCCTCTTCTCCTCGGCTAATGCAGCGAAGTTTAACCGCTACTCGGATAAAAAACGAGCTTCGGATTAGTCTTGGCAGAGGCTTTTATGTTTCTATTTTCGGCTTTCAGACTAGGTTTAATTTTCTGTAACTTTTCTGTAATTATCCTCTTCATCCTCTTGCATAAATTGGCATTAATTCATGCTTTTTCACTCTATAGTGCAATACTTTGTTGGAAGTTAGTTTATGGTAGCTTTTTAATATTAGTTTCTATTCACCAAAACATGTATTTCCTAAACACTAAGTGATTTAACGACTGAGTGGTCACCTCGGTGTCCACGGCTCAGCATGTCAGGATCAGGAATCAGGATCAGGAATCAGGATCAGGAATCAGGAAACATTTATTGCCAAAATATGTCAGACATACAAGGAATTTGACTTGGCGGTTGGTGCGTGACAGTAGACGGTGTAACAATAGACAACAAGACAGCAGTGCACAACTAATAAAGTAAAATCAAATGCTAATGCTATGGGTTAGAATAAGGCTATGGGTTAGTAAAAAACAAGAGAATAAAGTTAAAGTTAAAAATTAAAAATATTTAAAAATAAAGTGCACTAGCGAACAAGAGACAAAGTGACGAGCGAAAAATGACAGTAAAGTGACATGTGCAGTATGAAAGAAAGTGACCGGTGGAATATCAGAGTCAGACAGTGGGGGACCGGGCTCTGTTGATGAGCCCGACTGCCGACGGGAAGAAACTGTTCGTGTGGCGGTGATGGAGGAGCAGAGGATGGACTCGATGATGGCCGTGTAAAAGTGGACCATCATCTTTTTTGGCAGGTTGAATTTCTTCAGCTGCCTCAGGAAGAAAAATCTCTGCTGAGCCCTCAGCTGATGTTCAGCTCCCACTTGAGGTCCTGGGTGATGATGGAGCCCAGGAAACGGAAGGAATCCACAATAGTGACGGGGGAGTCACACAATGTGATGGGGGAGGGTGGGGCTCTGTTCCGCCGGAAATCCACAACCATCTCCACTGTCTTTAGAGCGTTGAGCTCCAGGTTGTTCTGGCTGCACCACGACACCAGATGGTCAGACTCCCACCTGTAGGCGGACTCGTCCCCACCAGAGATCAGTCCAATGAGGGTGGTGTCATCCGCAAACTTCAGGAGCTTGACGGACTGGTGACTGGAGGTGCAGCTGTTGGTGTACAGGGAGAAGAGCAGAGGGGAAAGAACGCAGCCGTGGGTTGTGTTCTTCTGCAGCCAACTGATTGGGGTACATAAGGACACATACTGACAGCCTTTTTGTCTGAAATGTCTCAAATTGCAGTACATTCATTCTATTCTATCACCAATTTAGTCCAGAACATCAAGGCAAAGCATAAAAGTGCCTTGTGCTTCAATGAAACCCTCATTAAACGGAATTTCATAAAGCGTTATTCATTTGTGCTAAAAATGTAATGTTACATTTTAAAAACGTGACAATTAAAATTGTATTTTTAAATGACATGCAGTAATTGTCACCAGAAATAATTGCAGTGATGAGACATGAGAGATGTCAGAAAAAAAATTATTTATTATAAAATTAGATTTTATAGATTATCAAAGATTAGATTTTTAAGATTATATTAGACACACAAACACACGCTTAACAAACGGTTCATAATAAAGAAAACAAGCATATATTTGACATATTTCCTGCTGTGTATTGGGGGGACAGATTGGTATTCTCTCAATATTGGGGGGACACGACCCCCCCTTCCCCCAAAGGATGCGTGGTTACAATACTAACAATCAGATACAATACTAACACAACGAATCACAAGAGCCGCACCCGTAGCCTTTGCATATCCTCGTCAGGATGAAATTGCAACCTTTACGTATGACAACTGCCAAAAATTTGACCCCGCCCAGCTTACGTCACAGCGGGGCAGCCTACGTAACAGGAGGGGGGGGGGCAGATTGCCTTCCCGGATAAGTAGGAGCTGACGAACCAGCGAGCTTCGCGCGCGCGTGTGTGTGTTTGTGTGTGTGATAGAGAGAGAGAAGCAAACCGCGTCGCGACAGCAGCGTCAAAAGTTGCTCCCACCACTTTAACAACAGTTTGGGTCCCACGCTCGCGCTCTTTAGATAAATATTTATCTTTTTTAATATATATATTTGACGCACTATTGGCCGAGAAGATGGGCATCGAGCAACGGAAGCTTTCGAACGGGGAGACGCACCTCGACGAGCCCCTGGCCAACGGAACGAGGAGCCCCGACCGGGGCGACCGGGGCCCGCTGTCCCAGCGCGTGAAGAGGATCGTCATGGCCAACCTGCTGGTCATCCTCACCGTGGCCGGCGTCATCGTCGGCGTTTTCATCGGACTCGGCGTGCGCCACGCCGCGCTGACCCGGACCCAGGTGATCTACGTGGGCTTCCCCGGGGAGCTGCTCATCCGGCTGCTGAAGATGATCATCATCCCGCTGGTCGTGTGCAGCCTGGTGTCCGGCTCCGCCAGCATCGACCCCAAAGCCCTGGGTAAACTGGGCGGCTGGGCCATGCTCTTCTTCCTGGTCACCACCTTAATCGCCTCGTCCATCGGGGTGGTGATGGCGTTCATCTTGGCCCCGGGGTCGGGCTCCGTGTCCAAGCCCAGGGTGCAGGGCCTGGATGGCGACGTGCCCGTCGCCAAAGAAGTGATCGACTCCTTCTTGGATTTGGTCAGGTGAGCGCGCGCCACCCGGTCTTCGTAGTGTTTAATGGTGACGTAACTAGCCTGTGGTCGTGTACACGTTTTAATTAAGGCTCGGTATTATTCTAAAGGGCAGCAATAAACCCCGAGACACACTTTTGGCGTATGGCTGAGTAAGTCCCCCCCCCCCCCGCATAGGTAAGCTGCTGGCGCTGTAACGACAACCCGCAGTTGCATCAGCTGAACGGCGCCTTCCTCCACTGACTGTGTACGGCGCTGTTCCCAGGAGCACCGGCTGTGTTTCACGGTCTATCTTTGTAGTGAGGGGGCCACGTGGTGGGACTTAACTCCACGTGTTGTTGAAGCGCCCCAACCACCCCCTCGTGCGGGCTGTGCGCCGGGTGTCTCCCCCCCCCCCCCCCGTGTTATAATAAAAAGTCTGCACGCACAGCGCCGCTGTTACTTGGCTGACAGACACACGTGGCAGAGACCCATGTTGTCTCAACGTCTCGGCCCTGGACGGGTCAGTGACCTTTGCTCACCAGTCTCACATTTTATGCCCCCCCTCACACACACACCTCCCCCCTCTTTCTTTATTTGTCCCTTTTGAAAACTGAGTGTATCTATTCCACGCCTCGCTGCTCTAAACGCGTCTATTTAGGACACTGGCTCACAATTATGTGCCCCGTGCCCCCCCCATGCGTCACAATCATGGGACATGTGTCACCTCTCCAGAGAACCAAAGGAAGGAAGCATTGCGTTGCATTGAGTGGGGGGGGGTCCTGGCTGTCCTGGCTGTCCTGTTAGGAAATACTGAGGCGTCAACATCTTCCGACACATCCTCGTCATCTATTGAATTTCCAGTGAAACATGTTACGAGTTCGAGGCGTTTCTATTGTTCTGTTTTACACCATAATGGATAGAGGGGAGGGGGGGCTCACTTATCTGAGTCAACATTTATTCATTAGATTAGTTTACTCTCCAGTTAAAGTGCATTGAACCACAACCTTTAGTAAACACGCTGCCACACACGGTCGTGTGAGCTCGGCCCCAAAGGTCCGTCTCATGTTCTTTTAAGTGGCTCCTGTTAAGTGCAAACTTGCTAAAAAAACTCCATTATTGATGTGTGTGTTTTATTTTAGTGAGGGACATGAACTAACCTAGATGTTTCGCCTTTAACATTAAGTCACTGTTTGTCTAAACCTTTATACACTCGGGGCTCAACTGTGTGAGTCGTCGTCAGTTTAAGCGCTCCGTGGCGCTTTCTGGGTTTGCATCCTTCTGGTTGAAACCTGTTACGTTACATTAAGTTACATTCATTACGTCATTTCGCTGACGCGTTTATCCAAAGCGACTTACAGTAAGTGCATTCAACCATAGGGATACATTCATACATTGAAAGTCTCTTTGCATAGAAGAGTCAGCTAAATGACATGCAATGCGTGAATTGTGTATTAATAGAAACACAAACTGTGAGCCTCCCTCCTCCGGCAGTGTGACCCGGCCTTTTCACATAAAAGAGTAACAGGGCAAGACGTAACCATTTACGGATTAACATTGTTTCCCTTACATAACCGGTTCTGGTCTGGACCGATTGGTTATTTAATATTTTCTTTGGCTCTCTGCTCCTTTACTGCTCCTTCTCTCCTCACTAAAACCAGTGCAGCGGTCCACTCCACTTATTAGCTCCTAAACGCAACCTATTGGCTGCACTTTTGTCCTGTATTACTTCTTGTATTTCTAGTTCATTGTACCAGACTGCAGTTTTGAAGAACATAAAGACAAGTCAGTAATGCTCCTCTCGTGCAGGACACAAGGAACCAACGCACACGTTTACACATCGCCGTGATGGGTCCGAGGACAAAACCTGTGGCTCTCATTAGAGCGGATCCTAATCAGTTTAGCTACTCCTTCAGAGCCGTATTGACATCCTCTTGCCTTCCTTTTTGTTTGGTGTCCCCGTAGGTGACTGCTAATGTCTTATTTTTTGAGCTACAAGGAAGAGATGACGTTGAATACTTCAGGCGTAACACGATGTATTTCTCTAGATGTTTACCTTCCCCAGCACATTTACTACATGGTATGGTTGAGTATTCTCAGATGCATCTAAAATACATTATAAATGAGATTTCACACACGAAAGACCGTGTGAGTCTCTTTGGAGGAGGAGGATCGTGAATCATGGATCATAAAGTTGGCAGATCCTGGTGGAACAAACTTAGTATTAGTTCATTAGTCAGCCTTCCGGTAAACAAGCGTCCCCACCTAACAGCAGCGTCTGACAGTATGTTCAGTGCTGATGATTGACCGTAAATATTGTCTTCCAAGAAAACTTTTTTTTTTTTTTTTTGCCTGTATTGGAAATGAAGTAGACCATCAAATAACAAGGGAGGAAAAGTAGGTCCATTAAGCTTTCAGCTCTGCATTATTTATGAGAAATGATATTGTGAACTTCATGGCTCGGCACAGGATGTAGTTTGAACGGGCTCCCGCATAGATCCGTACACTTCTATCACAATGAACAGCGCTCAATGACAACAAGCGCTTCTTTATCTGCGTCAGACGGTTGAATGGAATTTTTAGCAACGCGACGCCATTTGAATATCCAAATAAAGTTTTACTATTTGCTAGACAGCGCTGTCACATGATGTTTTATTCTTATTTACCATGGTTCAATGTCAATTGTATGTTCAAAATAGCCTGTGAAGTTGATGCCTTATTACTACAAAACCTTTACAAATAGTCGTATCAGGCCGAGGTGGGTTTAGGAGTTCTTCACAGATCTAATCTACTGTGGGAACTAAGTACCAATGCGTGTGCTTGTTAGCAGAGAAGTAACGACACACCAGCATTTAGCAAGAGGGGATAAGACTGGGATTATTGGTTAAGTACTTTCGGCTATTTCCACAGGATCGATCTTGTGATTCCATCTGTTTGAACTATCGCTGATGTCCAGAGAAGCAGAGACTCGTGTTTAAAAGTGTGGCTATAAAATCGCATGAAGCTCGATAGTTGATAATGAACATTGTATACTTCATCCCAAATGGTTCTAAGCTAAACAAGCTAGGTTTTTGTTTTAAAGTTATTGAAAGATGTGTCCTTTTTGTATAAATAATACATGACTTTTTTGTTGTTGTATGAGCGGAAAAATAACATAATTTCTATAATTGCTCTGCGGGTCATTGCCTCATGTTCTTCATTGCACTTCTCCAAAGCATCAGCGCACACTGACCACCACAGGAGTTCACCGCATTGTTAATCTTTCTTTAATTTCCTCCACACAGAAACATCTTTCCCTCCAACCTGGTGTCTGCTGCCTTTCGATCAGTAAGTACTGCACTCTGATTTTATAATTCTGATTTTAAAATGATGCGACTAATTACATTAGATTACATGCGTGTCGTAAACTCACTGGAACAAAAAAAAACTTTCTTCCCCAACCAGTACGCGACCAGCTACAAGCTGGTTACCAAAAACGGCACGGACGGAAACCTCACCGTCGCCGTGGAGAAGGTGAGCGGACGCACGTTCTAGTCGTCCACACTAAATGAACGCGTCTCCACAAGGGTTGCTGGTGCGACTTCTTGCGTCCTGACGGCGCTTCCCCTGTGCCTCCAGGTGCCCTTTGGAACCGACCAGGACGGCATGAACATTCTCGGCCTGGTGGTGTTTGCCATCGTGTTCGGCGTGGCTTTGAGGAAGCTGGGCGAGGAAGGAGAGCTGCTCATTAAGTTCTTCAACTCCTTTAACGAGGCCACCATGGTGCTGGTCTCCTGGATCATGTGGTGAGGAAACCCTGCGTGTTGGGAGGGATTGGATTTGAAATCCCCGTGGAGCTCCGGGTTACGTACCGTGTGGCTTTCTCTTTGTGCCGCGCTCCAGGACCGGAGTTCTCTAACGGCGTCCCTCCTCTCCACAGGTACGCCCCCGTTGGGATCATGTTCCTTGTTGCCGGCAAGATAGTGGAAATGGAGGATGTTGGCAACCTATTTGCGAGCCTGGGAAAATACATCGCCTGCTGTGTCATCGGTCACGCCATCCACGGCCTTCTCGTGCTGCCCGCCATCTACTTCGTCATAACGAGGAAGAACCCGTACACCTTCCTCTGGGGCATATTTACAGCTCTGGCAACGGCCTTCGGAACGAGCTCCAGGTAATAATATCCCTGCTGTGACTCTACAAAAAAAACGTGCACCATCGTCCGCGTGCAGATGCCTTTTTTGTGCGCTCACGCGTCCGTTGTTCCTCAGCTCTGCCACTCTGCCCCTGATGATGAAGTGCGTGGAGGAGAACAACGGCGTGTCCAAGCACATCAGCCGCTTCATCCTGCCCATCGGCGCCACCGTCAACATGGACGGAGCCGCGCTCTTCCAGTGTGTGGCAGCCGTGTTCATCGCGCAGCTGAACGAAACGTCCCTTAACTTCATCCAAGTCATTACCATCCTGTGAGTCCCGAAGCCGTCCCGCGGTTTACCCGGCTGGATACTATGTCGAGTTGTACACTTAACGGGTGTCTAACCGCCGTCATCCCCCTCCCTGTGTGTTAGCGTGACAGCTACAGCATCAAGTGTTGGCGCGGCTGGCATACCTGCTGGTGGCGTGTTGACCTTAGCCATCATCCTGGAGGCGGTGGGACTGCCCACCAACGACATCTCGCTCATCCTGGCTGTCGACTGGCTTGTGTGAGTGCAGCTCCCTTTTACTGTATTCCGTGTTGACGGAGCGCTGTAGCCAAGGAGCCGATGTGACGTACTCCGCCTCGTATAATCCAAGTGCACTTTGCCTCCTGATGGGATTGTTGTCTTGAGCCGATAATATTTGTCTCGCCAGTCATCCTTTCTGTCTTATTCTTCTTCTTTTTAGCGACCGCACATGCACAGTGCTGAATGTGGAGGGCGACGCCTTCGGGGCGGGCCTCCTGCAGCACTTTGTGGACCGCGGGTCCAAGCAAGAGGAGGCAGTAGAGCTGAGCGAAGTCCGGATGGAGGGAAATCCGTCGGCGGCGGCCCCCGAGCACTCGCCGCTCATTGAGAAGCGGCACAAGGACGGCGCAGGAGGTGACGCGTAGTCGCTCACGTGATCCAGCTGCTGGCACCGTGAATGACGCTCTTGACATATTTTATACATCCCTGCAAAACCAAAACGTTCTTTTTCTTTCTACATTTGTTACCTATTGACTCCCCAGGCACCAATTTTGTAAACTGATATTTACCACTTTGTCCACTTTTCTGGTGCAACACGTGACAATGTCTGACTTGAGATGTTGGCGAGGACCACACAGCTCGCTGCGCCCAGCCCATGTTACAAAGACCGTTTTTATATTCTCCATCTGGACTTTTTCTTTTTTTTTTATTTCAATGTTCTTCTACAGGATGTTGTGGAATGTTTGGTCTTAATACTTTGTATGTGAACATGAGTTATTTTATTATATATTATTATGGCCACTTTCATGCAGATAGTACCCACATATTTAAACTGAATTTTGTCATAAGGGACATTGATTGTAGTCAATACTGCATATAAATAGCTTACAATATCTGTGTAACAAAAGGCACAATATTTTTTTGTAACTGCCCAAAGCTAAATAATGGATTTTTTTCTTAATGACACGAATGGGTCAACACGCTGGGCTACTCGATGAACCTCAGAGCCTTTCCGCCTTTTCTAATGGACATCAATGCAATCAAAGGCAATGTAACCTCAGGTTCAACAACGGCTTAAGACTGTCCTCAATACCCGCGAGACCAAAAATCACGCAGACTCCACAAAAAGGCAGGAGATTGTTGAAACTCCAGCTAACCTTGAATGACGTGTGTGTGTGTGTGTGTGTGTGTGTCATACCTTTTACTCAAGCTGTTGCGCTTTTGTTTGATATTTTAAAATATGAGTGACTTCATGTGAGGTCTAAGAAGTAGGAGTCATTCAGTACGAGAACGCCTCAAAGTTGACAGAATATCACCAGTGGACTGATGACCCATTTTGACTGTTGATGCCCAAAGGATTTAATTGAATGTCTCGACTTACAACTTTTTATCTGGGTGTGATGGGCGAGACATTTTAGTTTTGGGTTGTAGGCCTCCTATTGTAAGCTGGTGATGCCTCAAATCATTATTTGTTAAATTCATATTTATTTTGATAATCAAAATCCTAAGACAATTTTTGGACTTGTTAGTAGCTCCACTTTTTTCTTTTGTTTTTGCGATCTTCAATGTTTCTTGTAATAGCTCGTTGGTGAAGGGCTTTTTATTTTTATTTTATTTTTTTTATTGAGTCCGCGTCTAGATTTGTGTATAAGTCGCTTCTATTTAGTGACTCTTAAAATTCCCTCTTGCAGCTTGCAGAGGTCCGTTAGAGAAACCTGAGATGTGTACGGCTTTTTAGTGTGCGGTTGATGGTATGAGTTGTGTTGACTACCGTAGATGGAGTCAAAAATTGACACTTTCTTAAATGAGAAAGTGTGTCCATATTTGTCTGGTACTGTATATGCAACACATGTTATGTATGTTTAGCCAGTTACACTATTGAATGTTTATCTAACAGTTTAAAGGTGTATCAAATCAACTGCTTTTGTGCTCATAATGTTGTTGTTTTAAACTAAAACCAACTCTTAAAAGATGTACATGGAACTGGTTTAGTAGTTATTTCCATGATCAACATCTATGAAATCATTGTAGAACTGAGTCATCCTTTCTACATGTATGTCATAGGACATTGTTGACCATCGCTTCCAAACTGCTTTTTTTTAAAAAAAATTTAAGGAAGTGAAAATGTAATCATCCTCTGAAAATTTACGCTGTATGTTTGTCTTTTATTTTTTGTGCAAAGGATGTGTTGTATATTTGCACATGTTAGCGATCGATATTGCAGTTGGGCTACTTTTTTTAAAAACTTGCCCGGTTAGTCTGAATTTACTCTCCTTGGGCGTTTAAGCAATAAAGGCGTTTTTTTAATAAATTGGCTTTATCTGTGGGCATCGTTGTTCTAACCGTTTCACAGTGACTTGCTGCAAGCCGGATGGCAACTTGCTTGTGATGCTGTGCCGTCTCTCAGCGCTGTGGATCCTTATCCTATTAAAAGGCAAAGGGAGGATTGTGAGGGATTTAGACGGCTGCTTTCCAAATAAAAGACCAAACGAGCAGCGTTGCGGTTTGTCCCCTTATTAAATCATCCACCTGCCGGGCTTCTGACAGATGAAAACTCCTATAACGCTGCATCATGAACACAAGTTGGAGTGGTTCCAATACTCCTGGACTGTTTAGGTCAGTGGGGCCACCTAGTGGTCAAATAGATCTGGTGCGTTAACCGTGTTCTGCAAGGGATTTGCCAATAAATCTCAAACATTAATGCTGCAACATCAGCAAAAACTGATTTATTTTACCAGTTCATGCATTGGTGTGACAATGTATATGCTACTTATCTTTTGGAATATTTATCTGATCTAATTTAGTTGTTTTTTTCACTGAATACTATTTCCTCTCCTCCATATACACTATAGTGTTTATTCATGTCACCAAGCCACAGCTGGCAGGTACCAAAAGGCATGGAAATACAGTGATATTCATTCATTAACTGCATAACCTCAAAGAACCAGTGCAAATCAATGCATCAAAGTAAAAACACTTCTCAGACTAACATTCGTTCAAAACCTTAAATACTTCAGATAATGTACACAGCAGCTTACATCAAATAAAAAATATCAGTAATTTAAAATGATTTACCATCTGTACAGAAGGCATATCTATACTGTACAACACATACAGATCTAGTTCCCCCATGTAGCAAAACCAATGCTTGCTTCCTTAATATTTGCCTGATGTAAATATTTTCAGCATGAATTTAAACTTTTCAAGCCTTCGCGCCCTTTGAATATCCAAACATATTCTCACTGTGACAAGGAAAAGAAACAAAGGGTTAGACTTTGCAGTGGTAAAATTGAAATGCCGTTGGCTTTCAGACAAAGATCTCTCTTAGGCAGTAACAAAAGAAATGCAATTATTCATGTGTCGTTATGAACAGACACAACATTAAAACCGCACTCGAGTCTCTATTGTCGCTATCTCATAATTTGCTTCTGTCCAGCCTCTTCTTGGAGGGGTTGGGATACTGGGGGTTCTCGATAACGCCCTCTCCGAACTTGAGCTCCAGAAAGCCCCGGTAGTTGTTGGGGCTGTAGGCGGTGACCCCGGCGAAGGACATGGGCACCAGCGGCTGCAGGAAGTGCTCCGGGAACTCCACGTCTTGTTTGTGCTCCGTCCACGTGTCTTTGGTCATGATGCCGTTACGCGGGTAGAACGGCCACAGGTCAACGTGCAAGTGGTTGGCCTCGCTGTACTGGACTCTGTAGAAGTCTCCCTCCACCGCGCGCTCCCACACGTAGCCGTTGGCATCCACCAGAGAGCCGGAGTCCAGGTTCTTCAAGTGGTCACAGTTGGGCACGTCCTCCAGGTAGATGCCCAGGTCCACGTCGTAGTCCCACGGGATGATGTCTTGATGGCGGACGGCGCCCAGCAGAGTCCCCCCCTCCAGCCAGTAGCGCACCCCTGAGGTCTCCAGGATGTTGATGACATATTTGGTGGTTTCCCTGAGAGCACGGAGACAGCAGGGAGGTGTCCAGCGATCCAGATACAGGTAGTCCGGAGTGTCGTCCCGCACCGTGCCAAAGCAGCGAGGCGTCTCTTTGCTGCAGCCGTACCACTGTTCCTTACCATCGGCGAGCAGGAGGCGCTTCAGGCCGAAGCTCTTCATGAGCCTCCCGGTGGCCTCCTTCAGTCGCGTGTCAGCCTTCCACTGGTTGTGGGCCGAGCTGAAGAGGGGCCGGTGGTTGGCGGCGAAACAGGGGCTCTCCAGGAGCTTGACCTTCCACCCCCTCAGGGCAGTCTGCACGAAGAGCGAGGAAAAGAGGGGCCGTCCCACGGGGACGGAGAGGTTGAAAAGATCTTCGGCGCGAATGAGGACCACCGCGTCTCCCTGCAGAGCCGAACACACGCTCCCGCTGCTCCCGGACGCGGCCGTTGAGTAGGTGGCCATCCACTCCCTGAGGTTCACCCGCAGGTGGAGACACTGCACGGCCGAGCGGGCCAGCACAGGTGCAGCCACCAGGCGGACGGGCCCCCCACCCTCGCCTTCCAGCTCCCTGATCAGCCTCTCGATGGCCCGAGGCTGTTCCAACTCCACCCCGTCGGGCACCAGCAGCACAAACTCCGTCTGGACGTGGAACTCTGGCCTGTGACCTTGTGGCGGCTGGTCGGGGCTGGGGGCGAGGACCAGGAGGCGGGCCCCCTCCGGGAGCACCAGGGGAGGGTATGGAGACGTGTCCGCCACAGCCAGGAAGGGAAGCTCGGGTCTCTGGCGGAGGAAGGAGTTGGCCACGTCGCCGACATAATTCTCAAAGTGTTCAAACTCTCTGAGAAGAACAGTGACGCGTGGGCCGCGACCGTGCGCCTCACCCCCGACCCCTCCGGGCTCCCTGCCGGGTGCCCCGACGCCCCCGCTCACACCCGACCCCGGAAGGGCCGCCCTCCTCGTGCCCCTGCCCAGCTCCTTCCTCTTGTCCATCATTTGCTGCTGCGCCCGGGACACGTAGTAAAGAATGAGGAGGTTGAGGACGATGGCGCCGGTTAACAGGCCTTGGCAGAGACTGATACGCATGGCAACGGATGTTTGACCTTTTTCCGGTCTCTGTCAGTTAAGAAATGCAGCGGCGTGTCTCATGTCCCCATTTGTGGAGGAATTAAGAGTTGAAGACAACCTGTGAAAGACGAGAGAATACATTATGGAGCCATTGAGCTTTCAGTCCCATGTTTATAACAGCTGTATTAAGGTACCTCGACTGTGTGAGGACAATCTCATGCTTTACTTAGATTTAGGACAACAACTCAATGCAAGAGATCCCTCTCAATGGAGGTAACCAACGTTAGCTGCATTCTCAAACAAATATAACAGACATTCACGGCCACAACTAACCTCAATTTTGATGCATCTATTTTCTTTTTTTTTCACGCGGCAGTTATGTGCCGTCCTTCACATTGTGCACGAGCCATGTTGTTGGAGGCATAAAGCATCGTTAAGCCCACCAACCCTGTTGTGTTTTGGGGTATTTGGTTCCCGTGGTGGTCCATCTCAGCCGGTCCCCGGTTAGCATTTGAGCAAACCCGCATCAGACACGGAGATGATCCGCACTGTTTGCTAATAATTGCGCCGTTGTGGTTGAAATCGAGTGTCCGTCATTTTCAGATGAAATACACAGAGCCCAGAAATCGACTCGGAATAGTTCATTACTGTGTAGTTTAATTCGAGCCCAACGATTAAAACCAACGGTGAAAATGAACTATTAAGCTAACGTGTTCGCTAGGACTTCCTGCCAGGCTCTTTCAGAACAAAAGTGATCTGGTCACAAATTGGAACAATAGCAAATTACTATTGCTTCGTTGTGTTCCTACATGATCATGTACTCCCTATTATTTTTAAAGAAAATATGTATTCATATAATATAACTCCACATTGTAGTCTACACTTTTGTCAGTGTGGTTATTAATTATTTTCTTCATGGGACATTACATCTAATGGTTAACATTGCCAATGTTAAGGACGTTTCACATTTCTTTTATATTCATACTTAGTCGATAATACCTGTGTTCGGTTTCGTCCCGTGCCATTGGGAGGGGCAGATTTCACAATGGAGCCTTGAATTATTTTTTGTCGTGAAAATTTCAAACCGGAAACCCAGTTGTATATACCGCTGGCTACCTTCACCGTCCAACGTCCTTGCTCACAAAATGGCAGGAAATGAATTCCCGTAGCGACTCGTTCATTGTGTATTACTGCTAACATGGCCCTTTACCTGAAGCTCACATCGGGCATTTACAATAGCAAACAGGAACCAAATCTGGGAAGTACATAATAAGAGTCGCGAACATCCTTTTGTGTGTTTTAAGGGTGATAACATTTTAATAACCGCATTACCGTGTTACTTAAGAGAACATTTGCTAAGACTGTTGGTTAAATGTTTCACTGGTGATTAAATAGGCCAGACGGTGGCACGTATGAAACGCGGTCATCGTGCTTTATTTTGAAGGTTTGAAAGCGGAAGTGTAGTATTTTGTTAGCTGAATAGTATTTTTACTCTTTGCGTGCGAGAAAGGCGATAAAAAAGGGGGTAGCCCGAAGCGACGCGCTGCTGGGTTCAGAAGAAGGGTACGAGGTACTTTTTCTTTCTCTCCTTGTTCGTACACTCTGCCCCCTTCACGCCTCCTTATCCTGGCGAGAGGGTTGAACGGTAAAAAAAAATGGAGGCGGATAGATCCGGCGGAGGACCAAACCCGAACTCCGGAGTCGGCGGCGGCGGCGGAGCGGGGCGCAACCCGAACGGGCCCAAAGCAGCACCGGGACACGGGACGTCAGCCGCGGTGACCGGAGTGATGGCGGCGGCGGCAGCCGGGGCCGTTCCCGGATCGTCCCACGCTCGCGAGCTACAGGACGGGGACTCGGGAATGACGCTTCCAGGGATCCTTCACTTCATCCAGTACGAGTGGGGACGCTTCCAGGCCGAGAAATACCGCTGGGAGGCGGAGAGAGACGAACTCAGGGTAAATTAGTTCAGATCGCTTAGCCTGTGATTTTTCTAACGCCGAATCAAAGGCCGAAAAGGGGGGAAATTCGCAGGAGCTCTTTCGGTGTGCGCGCTTTGTGGAAGTACACATGATTGTATGACAAATGCAATCTCGGGATGGCACAATGCTAATGGTCTTAACATTTCACTCCATCACATTGTGTGTTATGACTAGACAGTACATGACAATGCACGTAAAGAACGACCTCCAGCTGATGATCCCCTAGAGACCCCCCCCCCACCACACACACACAGGCTTTAACCCCTGAAATTACCATCAAATCAGTTACATCCCTCTAAATCTTTTACTCCACCGAGCAAACAAAGACTGAACCACTGCTTCCTAAAGAGGGAAGGGACGCCGTTAAAAGGTTGTCAAGCACCTGGCAGTTTCCTTCAAATCACTGCAGTTTATGATGGACGATCTGAGCATTGGTTGTGAAAGTGGTGATCATACTGGAAGAAAGCCCCCCCCCCCATTAAAACCAGGCGCAGTTTGATGGTTAATGGTTTATTCACAAATCAATTGGCGCAGTGAGAAGAAAAGGGATTACTGGGAGCTCCTTAACGTAGACGTCCACTCTGGCCGTTTACGCCACCACACTGCCAGCAGATTTTGAATGACATTACATCTTAATGCATAATCTCCTCCCATAATGTCCCTTGAAGCGCAGTCGTGTCAAATGGTGGATTGTATTAAAAGTGTAGTAAAAGTATATAACTGTGTATCTGGCGGTTTGTGGAAGCGCTGTGTTATGTAGCCATGGCTGACTATGTGATGCAGGTGTATTTATCAGTATCACTCCTTTTATATTTTCTCTCTTGGAATACAAAAGTTAAAACATATGACCTGCCACTTCCAAATGCTGCCTTTAGGTTAGACAAGCAAGCTTCGGCCCCTAAAATGAATCAATTTGAGTCCCCGAAGTGCCAAGAAAGATTGATGTGAATGGGAGTCAATGGCGTATGAATGGCCGTAAGCAAGGTGCCAGTCCCCTAATGGTCCCAGTTAATCAGAGACCGACAACAGAATCCATGGGCTGTACTGTGCAGCATTCCTACATGCATATGTATGACGTGGCGAGTAGGTGCTCACTCATCAAATGGCTCCAGGATTAGAGGGCAGGTTAGGAAAACATACAAGATGCATACAACATACAAGATGCTGACGTAGATGTTTTCACTCTGCGTGTGGAACGAATGGATGAACAAACAAAAACAGCTTTTCATTCCTAAAACCCATTCGCGGTCTTTCTTGTAAAAAAGGACAAACTATCTTTTGGAGTTCAAGAGACAAAACAGTTAAAAAAAACAAAGAAGAAAACAAAACAAAGGGAAAAGCACCTTCTGTCCCTGTGCTTCTCACTTTGCCCCCGACTCTAACCTATTTATAAATAGAAGCACTGATAAAATATGGATGAACAATAACAAACTTCCCGGGTTCGCTGCTTTCACAGTCGCGTGGGAAAGCGCGGGAACGGAAGCGGCCCATCGCTTCGTCCGCCGTGCCACTACGCGTGTCATGGAACTTTGTGTGCGTGTGCGCGTGTGCTCCTGCACATGGTCCGGTTTCACGGGTACCATTAGCGCCACGTCCTGTGCTGAGAGAAAGAGGCGCTGGCTGGAGTGCCAGGCTGAGAAGTTGACCTAGCTTATATTTCAACACCCACGGGCCTCTGGCTTTTGTCGTCAGCATGCTGGCAGGGCTCTCCGTGTGCCCCTGGCCGTGTGCGCGTGTGCAGCACCATGCTATACATGGGTCCATGCACGCATGTGTTATGCATGTACGACTACATGGGTCTGTGCGCTTGTAGCGTAGGGTGTCTCTGTGAGTGTGCTCTCTGGTGCGAAAGGCCACCTGTGGTATCGTGTCTCACCATGAAATGCCAAGAATGACGCCCCCCCCCCCCGCCCCTCTCCGGGGCCAGGTGGGACGTCCCGGCAGGACCGTGGGACAAGCCGCACAGGGGACAGGTGGCAGGGGCCTGGCGTCTTTGTCTGTCAGACACACAAGACGTTTTCCCTGGTGGATTTTCTTTCCAATCGTCATTATGATTTCATAGACTTAGACGTCGAATCAAGTCTCTATCCAGCGGGGAGAAACGTAATGCCCTCACCTCTTTCTCCTTTAACTACAGCATTAAGCTATAACGTTTTGTTAACCCTGTCAGTAGTAGATTACTGGTGACCCAGATTACATCACTTCCTCTTGGGTATGGCCTGCGGGGCCCTCGAGTACACATCTCTAATTAATAGCTCTGGGGCATGACACACGCATGACACACGCATACGACATCTATATGTACTGCGTTATTACACTGTGACTTGCAGCCAAACTTTTCTAAAGCTCGTTTTTTTTCTATTTTTCCTTTTTTCTCAACGTAATTCTCTCCCTCTTGTTGTATTTCTCAATTTATTTCCAGTCTCCTTCACTGAAACTTTTTTTTTTTAACTCCCCTCTTTTATTCAAGACACTATTTTCTTTGCTAATAAAGCATCTTCTAATCAAACAAGCTTTCTAGGATGTCACACTCACACTAAATACCACATACACACACACACACACTCACACACACACACACACCCACACACACACACACACCACTCCCTGACACGCTCCATCATCGCACGCTGTCCCAGAAACATTCCTCGCTCTACTTGTTGGCACATGGATTCTCTCGTGGGTTGCTAAGATGGGGGCGGAGGAGGAAAGCTGCCCCCCGACCCCGTTCCGTCGCTGGCAGAAGAGGCGCCGTCGGTAAACGCGTCGGCTCTCCGCGTTGCAAACAATCCGTGGAAAGGTCCGCAGCGGTTAGCCACACCGAGGCGACGGGACGGAGAGATCAGACGGCACCGCGGGGTCGCTCCCTCAGAGGGGTGTTCCCTTGTTTGTCCCGTTTGCTTACCGTCATAACACAAAGAAAATAACCACTATGTCAATGTCGTGTAGAGAATACATGAAACAACACCCAAAAGGCTAACAAATGGTTTGTTACTCTGTGGCTTGTGGTTTTTAAACGTGCATCGATATTTCACTCCAGGATAACTTTCTTCATGAATACTGAGCTCTCTTTGTGCCGCCTTGGTTCCTGCTCTTATTGAAGTCTTTTTCTTGATCTCACTTTTTTTCATCTACCTACACAAAAGTAACAAAACAGCATGTCCCGATGTGGGACGATAATACAGACCAGAGAGGGAACCAAACAAAGGTGTGTTTTTAAAAAGCGATGGATCAGCAACGGCACCAAGCAGCATCCTATCTGACACAACGACCCCCCCGCCCCCCCTGCCCCTGTTTCCGACACCATTCTATCTGCAAAAGTGGCAGCTCCCACAGCGTGTGTGTGTGTGTGTGTTTGTGTACACACGCAGCTCTGGATTTATTTATTCTAGCAAAGCAGCGACCGCTAACCAGTCCTTGTCATGGCCGCGTGACACCGGCGCACAGGGGTGTGTGCGATGGTTGTCTGTGCGGGTGAGCAGGTTGCAGCTCGTCCGTGTGTGTGTGTGTGTGTGTGTGTGTGTGTGTGTGTTGTGTGTGTGTCAGTAGGAGAAGAAACTTGTGCCCTGCCTCTGGAGGAAGAAGTAGACGCATTCCTTTTAGAGGCGGGACTTGCGAGGAACTTCGCTTTGATTCCAATAATTTCGCTCAAAGGGCAGCGTAGTCGCCGCCTGTTGACTTTGTCTGTTTGGACTCCCTGCTCACACTGTGGGGACACAGCCTTCAGGACACAGTTTCCAGGACGCTGCTGCGTTTCAGTTGGGGTCAAACAGACCTGCGTGGTAATCGTTTACCGATCTGCAGCTAGTTGTCCTCGTGGTCTTTTCTGGTCATTTTCGACCAGAACCGAGCCGACGCTGCAGTCAGCACACCGAGGAGTCCGTGTTTGTGTCCAGACGACTTTGTGTCCCGCTCTGCCACTTGGTCCCCGGTCGATCCGATCGACACATCGCCGTGTCACAACATTCTTTCGTTATTTCGACATTTCCATTTGAATCTCTTATGAGATGAAGTGTCCCTCCGCCATATTTCAGCATGTTAAGAATTCACATTGGATTCTGTGAGACCGTTAAAAACACAACAAGCACACAATTACTACATGTATGCAGCGGACCGTTGGAGGCTCTTCCAACCACAGACCAGCGGCAAATGATGTGTTACATAACTCTTTGTACAAGCTACTTTTTTTCTTACTGCTTTTCCTTCCAGTGTTTTGTTAGTATTATTAACTATTGAAATTATTTCAATTTTACATGCTGAACTCCATAACTTCATTTGTTGGTTCTAATTATCTCCAATCTTCCCCATTAAGCATATAAAATCACTTTTTACTAAACAGGCTCACTCTGCAGCAGTGGTACCGTTTGCTTGGGAGATCATCTTGTATTCCGCTCACCCTCCCAGTTACATGACTTTGTGTGCGCGTGTGTGTGTGTGCGTGTGTGTGTGTGTGTGTCTGTGTGTGTGTGCACTGTCCCAGATGATTGACTACCCTCTCTAGTAGACCGAGTGGCATCCCCCCGAGATGGTGTTTTTAGACTGTTCCACTTCTACGGAGCTGTGTGTGTGTGTGTGTGTGTGTGTGTGTGTGTGTGTGTGTGTGTGTGTGTGTGTGTGTGTGTACTCGTGGACACGCACAGGAGAAATGGACCGTACGACCACATTCATTAGTGCTACACACACACGCCGCTCGGCATAGAGACGGACAGACCGGGTGAAGATGCAAAAACTGTCGTGTCGACCGTCACCTGCATACAAATGCTGAAGTTAAAAACACGGGGTTCTGCCTTTTTGAACCTGCGCCTAACAGTTCTTTTGTTTCTTTGTCTCCTCCACCGGTAGAGAGTAGGATGTTTGGTGTCCTGGTTTAGGCCACAGCGTGACTTGGTGCAGAACGTGGCTGCAGGTACAGACCTTTCTCATCAGGCCGACAGCCCCCTTCACACCTTTGTCATGGTGATGCCTAACCCCTCTACGTCAAATCTTCAATGTGTTGTTCCCTCATCACCACAAATGATGTAAAAAAAATCCCTTCTTTTGCTTGGTCATTTGAGGAAGGGAAATGAGTCGGGAAGCACACACAGGAAGGATGTGTCTTAAAAGAGGGTATTTGGATTTGGCCGGCGTGAGTCTTGTTTTTTCATCCTCCGCAGATGTGCGCTGAGGCCTCGGTTAGGAGAAGTTAAAAATAAGAGCTCTGTTCCACCACCCTCTACTTATTCCTCCGGGTTCTCACAAGTCATGTTTGCTATGCTTGTCACAATTTTTGTCTTCCCGGCCGGAGCTTGCGATCTGAAATCAGCTGCTTTTCGAGCTTTATTTGGGACGGCAGATGCCACAGCTGTGGTGTCAATGTGAATTGATTTTTATATTGTACATGCCTGCGTGTGTGTGTGTGTGTGTGCCTTTTCTGAAGTAACTTTGTGCGTGTGGTGTGTGTTTCAGGCTCAGGTGGCATTCCTACAGGGTGAGAGGAAAGGGCAGGAGAATATGAAACAGGACCTGGTGAGGCGGATCAAGATGCTGGAGTATGCCCTCAAACAAGAGCGGTAGGAAGCTCCTCTCTGTCCCTGTGTGTCGATGTCGGTTTTCCACCCGACCTTCTGACACAACGCTGACCGTGGAATGTTTTTCTTTATTTGCCTGAAATGCCTCCCCCGTGTGGTGTTTTGTGGGGTTGCAGGTCCAAGCATCAGAAGCTGAAGACGGGAAACGACTTGAGTCCCGGAGACAAGAAACCAGAGACCGAAGCAGACCAAGGCATGTTCACACAAGCCCTCATGCAATCTCTTACAGCTGCTTTTCAGGGCAACTTTTCGTTTTTTTCACTATCACTATTGACAGTCTGTTTTTTTTTTTTTTTTGTAGTTCCCAACGGGCCGGCCGAGTCAGAGTCTGAGCCGGCCAATCAAATGTCTTGGAAGGAGGGACGTCAGCTACTACGGAAGTAAGACCCCTGTGTCAACAACTCCTTCTTATAAGCTACTTATGGATTCTGTTGCTATTTCATCGTTGCTGTTAAACTCGCTATCTAGTGGGTGGATTCATGTGTGCGTGGGTTTTTATTTTTCTTCTTCTGTGGATGCAGATATCTTGAAGAAGTGGGTTACTCAGACACCATCCTGGACATGCGATCGAAGCGCGTGCGCTCGCTGCTCGGGCGGAGCAGCCCCGAAGCTAACGGGCCTCCACCCAGTGAATGCGGTCCCGAGCCCGAGCAGCGAGGAAGTGGAGAGTCGTTGTTGGTCCGACAGATAGAGGAACAAATCAAGAGGTGAGACTGTGGGAAGAAATCCACAGGCCTAATTCATTCCCCTGCACATGACAAAAATAGGGAATGACTTTTTGTTTGTTTTAGTTTGTTCTTAGCTCTTGAATAATTCACATTTACGTGGCGTTTCCGTTCTAGCAAGTTCCTCTTAAAGAAATTATAATGGCAATATGTCATTTTTTTGCCAAATATAAACACCATAGTGTTTCAGTCTAGTGCCGCCCTAAAGAGACGGCCGTATGTACCTGATATGGCATCATGATGATCTGTTCACAGACATGAGCTTGCCATTTAGCACTGGCCTTTAGCACGGGCTAATTCCAGTGCTAAAGGTGATGCTTAACACCTGACAAAGATGTCATTCTCTCCTACGGCGGCTTTGTGATTTAGGATTTGTCCGCACCAGCAATGTGAACGCAGTGAAACAATGGCACAATCTGATCTTAAAAGCATGGCAACTGTGTTGTAAAGCCTTTTAACTGGAGCGGAGAGAATAATTGTCTGTGCATTTGTAGGAACGCGGGCAAGGAAAGCTCTAAGGAACGTCTGGGCGGCTCGGTGCTCGATAAGATCCCCTTCCTGCATGGCTGCGAGGATGACGATGAGGAAGACAGCGACGAAGAGGAGGACTTCCAAGGCATGGCCACCGACTGCATCGACGGGCCGCGAAAGAACAAGAAGTCGCGTGTAAAGGTATGATCGGTGATTAGGAATGCAATCAGGAAGATGAGAAATGCTAAACCGCAAACTTTGTTGATGACGGATCGCATGGTAAATCCTCTCCCCTCGCGTCCAGATGGGTTCGGAGCCCATGACGACAGACCTGGACCCGGAGGACGAGGAGGACGAAGACGACTCGGAAGACGCCCTCAGTGAATTTGACTTCCTGGGCTCGGGGGAGGATGGGGAGGGGGCGGGAGAGGCCCGGATCTCGGGGGACGGACGGGAGTTAGGTACGCTGTTACCATAGCAACAACAACATCATCAGCACAGCACCGCCAGAATCACTGCCACCAGTGTATCTGTCCTTTTTTTGCCCCACCTCCCCACCTCCCCACCTCCTCCCCCCGCTCACCTTTTTTAAAATCTTTTACTTCTCATTGTGTCCTGGCATCTCTGCTTGTCAATAAAACCGACCTCTTTTCCCAACCACCTGTCTCTCTGTCCTGTTTCACGAGCTGTCAGTCCGTGACTCTTTAGAGCTGTGTAGCTGTCATCTCTGTCTGTGGATGTATTTCCTGTGGTGCGGGGGCCATTGCAAAGGTTGTCAAGCATGCTGCCGTCTCTTTTTATATGTACACATTTCATTCTTTGAGTCATTTACACTGTAACCCTGTGCTCCTATTGATAGTACCCTCTCATAGAAATGTGTATGTCGATATATAATTTTAAATAGTATGAGTTTGTGGCCCTGTTCTACATCCGCCCGCCCGTCTGTCTCTCTCTCCTCTGTCCATCTGCTGGCCTCTCCGCCCCTCCTCCGCCCCTCTGCATGACTGGATGTTTTGTGTCTTTCTCCTCTTGCCGGGTTCAGAGAACCGCAGGAACAAGTTACAAGGCATGATGTCGGACTTCCCCCCTAAACCTACCCCGCCCCCCTCTGTATCAGGACAGGCTCGCCCTGGAGAAGGTAAGAGCGCCCCATCAAAAACCACAGTCCATTTTCTACCGTCCCACATGCACGAGTGTAGGTTATTTAGTTACATCGTCTCCCTTTTGTTGCATGTTAAAGCCTGGATAGGTGTAAACGTACAACACTGCTCCTACACCTTTTAAATAAATATTTCCTCTGATACATAGTGAGGGAGTAAACACAATTACAGAACGCTTGCCAGAGGCTTCAACGTTTCATTTCTTTTACATTCTTTTCATCTCCTGTGCTTGTAGGGTTTGTAATGTTTTGTTTAACTATTTTTTCCACCTGCAACCTGCAGGTGGCTCCCTGGGATTCTCCTCTGACGTCTTCATCATGGATGCTGTCGGAGGAGGAGGAGACATGAACCTCGGTGAACTGGCTGACCTCACTGTTGCCAATGACAACGACCTCTCGATGGATGTAATTACACATTCGCTGTGGACAATACCCAGGATGTAGTCCGGTGTGCGTGTGCACACTATGTGTGAATGTTGACACTTACCTTCTTTTTTTTTTGATTAATGTTTCCTGTCAGATGCAAGACAACCGGGACGAGTTTAAGAAGACGTGGAACCCGCGATTCACACTTCGCAGCCACTTTGATGCCATCCGCGCTTTGACCTTCCACCCCAGTCAAGCGGTGCTGCTCACTGCCTCCGAAGACGGCACACTAAAGCTATGGAACCTCAACAAGTCCATGCACTCTAAAAAGTAAGAACCCTTTGATCAAAAAGTAGTGAGCAGCAGCAGGACAGAAAGTCAAACCAAAGATGAGATAAGAAGCACATTGAAAAGATTGCTCCTCTCCTTCCACCCACAGGAACGCAGCGCTGGATGTTGAGCCCATCTACACATTCAGAGCACACAGGTTTGTTAAAAATATCGAATTTGTACCAAACCCGGATGCAGAGCGATCGCTGACGCCTCTCTTTCTGCTTCAGTGGAGCCGTTCTGTCGCTGACCATGGGCGAGGATGGAGAATCCTGCTACAGCGGGGGTCTGGATGGAACCGTCCGATGTTGGAAGATGCCGGACCTCAATGTGGATCCCTACGATAATTATGGTCAGTCAATTGTCAGCTGAGGAGTAATGAGGATTTCTCAGTGTAGAAGCCGATTCCCTGTTTTAATGTGTGCGCTCGTCCGTCCAGATCCGGGCATCGAGAGCAGCGTACTGGCCGGCCACGAGGACAGTGTGTGGGGTCTGACTTACTCCGCGGTCCACCATCGTCTCGCCTCGTGCTCAGCCGATGGCACCATTCGCATCTGGGACCCTCAGAACTCGGCTCCCTGCTTGTCCGTCTTCAACAAGGAGCGAGGTAGGCGTCTGCGTTGAGTATGAAGAAGTGCTTTGCGAGCTCTGTCTTGTGTCCGTGCCTCACGACTTCCTCATCTCACGTCTTCTGCCAGAGAAAGGAACGCCCACCTCAGTAGCCTTTGTGGCCACTGACCCCAACCAGGTGGTGGTGTCATTCGATGCGGGTGAGACGCTGCTCTACGACCTCAACACCGAGCAGAGCGTCGCTGCGCTAGAGACGCAGACCAAGGACGGTACGTCCCGGAGCCCATTTGTAACCCGCTCTCCGATTGGCTCAAAACAAATCGTGTAACCAGTAGTGTTCAGATGGGACTGTTGTTTGTCTTCCTTTGCAGGGAGTGAGCTGATCAACCGCGTGGTCAGTCACCCATCTGAGGCCGTCTCCATCACCGCACATGAGAACCGCACCATCCGCTTCCTAGACAACAATACAGGTATCTGCATGTCCCGTACAGACTGGTCGCCTGTACGTTTCTCGATTGTGAATGCACCTAAATAAGCTTTCTGTGTGTTCATACAGGTAAAGTTGTCCATTCAATGGTGGCTCACCTGGATGCGGTCACCTGTCTCACTACGGATCCTAAAGGCACTTACCTCATCTCTGGAAGTGAGTAGCATTTAGCTTTATTGAGTCCTTATTTAGCTGAACATCTTAGAATCAGACGTCCTCAAGGATGAAGACAGTCTATCATTGAAATTCAAAATGGCATAAACTAGGGTCTTATTCCCAAGTGACACCAAACGCTATTTTCCCCTCATCATCATTTGACCCAGAGAGAGATTTTAATCTCGTTTTTCAATTATGAGTCTATTCTGTACACACGTGGGTAACCTGAAGAATTGATTAATGGTAATTAGAAAAAGATTAATAAAAATTCAGATTTTTTTTGTGTAAAGAATACATGGTAGTACGGCATCTATTATACATCCTCAAACTCACTTTCTGATTAAAAAAAAAAAGACCTGACAGCCTCACAATCAGTAGCTGTGTAAGTCAGTAGTAAAGCCACGCGAGAAGTCGTGCATCAAGTCTATTTTTTTAAACCAATACAAAGGATCCCTTTGCAGTGCAACTTTGTCTTTGTTTTCGCCGACCCTCTGCCTCCCTCTGCAGGCCACGACTGCTCGGTGCGCCTGTGGATGCTGGACAACAGGACGTGCGTGCAGGAGATCACGGCGCACAGGAAGAAGCACGACGAGGCCATCCATGACGTGGCCTTCCACCCGTCACAGCCGTTCATCGCCAGCGCCGGCGCAGATGCACTTGCCAAGATCTTTGTCTGACAGCACTGTCGTCATTCCGGTGAGTCACGTTTTGGAAAAGGAGGCCTGGCCATATTTCAAAATTGAGGCGTGGCGTTTGGTTGCAGAACATTTAACAGGCGATCGGGGGTTTAGCAAAAGTCTATTAAGTGGCATTTTGTCTTTTGAGTTTCATTTTGGAATTGTATTATTTGGACCTTAAGTCAGAGTTTATATGCCTCCGTTGCTTCTCTCTGCACACATTCCCCCTTTAACAGGATTCAAGATTATTATATGAATTGCTACTTTCCCCCCACTAAGGCCCTGGAAATGTAATTTGATTGCCTTGTTTTTCTATGTGTGTTTCTTCCATTTGAAATAACCAAAGTGATTCAGTGTTTAAAGTAGTTTTGAATGGCTGTCTAACTTTTTTTGTGTCTGCCCTTTTAGAGACCTACAAAACATCTGGGCTTAAAGAGACTGAAGACTACAGTGGACGTATTTTGCTTGCTTACACAAAGAAATACTCACAAACACACACATAGACACACACACACACACACACACACACACACACACACAGAGTCCTGCACCCCACTGGCTGGGTCATTGCCACAGGACGTCACCTCCTCAAATCTTCACTCTTCTCTGATGCCTCAGTGACTTCTTGTAATACTAATCACTGCTTTTTTATAAGAAAATCAAGCGCTGCTCCTTTTTTAAATAAGCATATTTGGAGTAACACTTTTCTACACTACAAAATTCCATTCTGCTTTTTATTCATTTTACAAACCCTTAATACAAACCACCTTGTGTGTGTGTGTGTGTGTGTGTGTGTGTGTGTGTGTGTGTGTGTGTGTGTGTGTGTGTGTGTATAAAGAGGTGGTACACTACCCACATGGATAAACCACAAAGGAAACGCACCGCGCACATGCACGCATTTCAGTTGAGATCTTCATTTGGCAAATGGCTTGTGACTAAAATCCATATGACTAATACGAGTTATCTGTCCCAGTGACCAACCTCTTCATTGGGAACCAATGTATTACATTCCAAAGACTCCCAAGTAACGTGTGTGTGTGTGTGTGTGTGTGTGTGTGTGTGTGTGTTCAGGGTTGGAGAATGTCAACTTTCGTGTGATGTGAGGAACCATTAGATAGTGGCTAGCCCGTGTTAAACAAATAGCTTTAATTCTAACTTCACGGCCAAGTCTCGTTGTGTGTGTGTGTGTGTGTGTGTGTGTGTGTGTGAGTACTACAATGTCCCCCCGATGTCACTCTGCTGTACAAGACACATTTCAACAATCGCGGTCCATTTCTACACGTGTGCAGTTTGAACACTGCGGACTGACGCTCTCGCGGCGCGCTAACCAGCTAAAGGTGTTTATCGCAACTTGCAGCGATGCCGGGCTGCTTGCTGTCAACAAGTGACACGGTCAATTTGTGCTTTTTACTGTACAGAAGAGTGTGCGTGCGCGCGTCCATTTATGCACTAGTTGAAATCACGGTGCTATGACGGACCTCATCAGGGACCTGTTTTTGTGTGAACGTGTGAGGAAGAGAGCGCGCCTTTCTCTCTTATCGGGCTTATTAAGGGAATCTGCTTTTCAAATGAGATTTTAGTGGTTCGCTGTGGTCACATTTTCAAATGAACTGTTCGCGTCTTTCGTTACAGAGATGTGAACGGCGTCGCCATTGATTGTGCGAGGGGCGTACGCGTATCATGATGATGATTTTGCAGCCTGAAAACATTTCCTCAGATGAGAACGGTTCAGATTGTCTTTTTCATTTCATCAAGTCGGTGCGAGGTTTTTAAAAATTTTATTTTTCATGGAGGTGCATGCTTCTGGCTCGTTTTTATTTATTTAGGCTTTCCAAAAAAAACACAAAAAAAACCTTTCGTACAGCTGTATGTTGAGGGGAGGTTCCCTCGCCTTGTCTTTGATCAGTTGCACAGTAGCACATCTCCCCCGAGAGCCAATGATGTGACGCTGGTCTCCTCTTTTTGAAGAGGTACGGATGAATGAGAGAAAGAAAAGAAGGGTCCATTTTTAAGTTCAGCCACTTTTGCCATTTCAAAAAGAAAAGCGAAAAAATACAAGAAAGAATTGATTTAAAGATGGTTGGGTGTCTGTTAATATTAACATAAGTCCACACCTGTCCGGTCCCCCGGATCCCTTTACGGTTTCAAACACCTCACACGCATCTCCCTCTGCGTCCCGCGTTTATACTGACCTCACTTCAAATTACCCGTCCCTAGTAATTGTGAAAAGTTTTACCTCGAGCAGGCTGAATCTGGTTAACGGGACCCCCAAGAATACAGTCCTACGAGTCCTACTCGTGGTTTAGAAGTCGTATCTAAGGGTCCAAAGTCGCCGAGATGTAAACAACTCTTTCCAAATGACTGCAGACACGAGCCTTCGTGGTTTTGAATTTTTTTGTAAACAGGATGGGAGACTTTTCCGGAACTACATTATTGTGCTGCCTCTGGACATGACATCCTGTTATCACATTTCAACTACTATCTGGCTCCACTTTGCACTACATTTAGTCGTGGATGGTTGCTGTGAGGAGTGGTCACAGACAGGGTGCTCAAATAATGATACAATCTGATGAGAATTAATGAAAAACTGCTGTGCTGAGCAGTTATTTCATAGTGGGAGATGCTGAGTACAGACAAATCCGTATGACTCATCTAAAAGAATAACTAAATTAAAACAGGGGTTGTACATGATGACTAAAGATGCCATTACATGATGTAAATGTCCATCATTTCCTTGTTTTCTTTCTTGCATTTATTTTCTTTGGTTATGAATATGGTTAATAAGATGTAAGAATACTGTAGTATCATAAGTGGATCATTCTTCCTTGCTAGGCTTAGAACTTGCTTGTGATTGATAATGGAAATGTATAACTTGTAAAAAAAAAAAAAAAAGATAAAAAAACATCAAAAATGAAAGAAAAAAAAAAGTAAAAAATCAGTTACCAGTCAGAAGCCAAGGTAAAGGACTCATTTCTTTGTTTTTATTTTTTTATTCGCAATTTATCACTGTGTGATATTTTGTACATCATATTACGCTGTATTCAAACTATTTCCTCTAACTACAAGGGATAAGAGACCTGCATTCTATACATTTTGTTTTATTAAATATTTTTTAACTGCATTCTAGCTTGTATCAAATGACTTTCTTTTTTGTTTACGGGTCCCCTGTTGTATGTCATTATGGAAGGAAAAAAACACAAAAAATGAAGATTTTGTAAAGTGAATTGTGTTTGTGTTGTCTTTCTTAGGGATGCAAAACTTCAAAAACAAATGGGAGTGTCATTGATCACCTCTCTGAAAATGCACACGAGTAATAAAAGAATAGAATATCTTTTCTACAGCAATTTAGTTACAGGACTTTTCAGGAAAATATTTACAATAACGTGTTTTCCATAAAAAAAATTGAAGTGACCACAAACTCTTAAACGGTAGTGTGTATATATCAAATATTTAATATCAGCGTGTTCATTCACCTGTGGTCATTTGTCCATTTGTAATGAGGCCAAATATCCAGGTGAAATTAAACGATGCAGCCTTAAGGCCTCATCAATACTGGGTTATCCATTATTCAATGCATATCAAACGTTGCCCTCTCGTGGTAAAAAAGTATACTCATCGCGAGCATTATTTGCTGCTGCTCACTTTTGCTTTTCCTGTGTTCGTTATACTTCTCATTTATTATTTTTGCAACGGCTTCACAGGAAAATATCTAGGAAAGGTGTCCACCAAAGGTAGTTTAGTTGTCATTCTTTTTTAACGTAAAATAGGGTAAGTGGTGCGGAGTCACAGTCGTCTTGTGAATCAAGCCTCATTTTTCTAAACAACCGTGTGGTTCAAACCTCACGCCGTCTAAACAATTCCCTCTTTTTAATGACCTCCGCTTGAAAGCCCCTCTGAAATAGGTGTGGCCCCACGATGAAGTCTGGCAGAGGTGTGTCTACTAAAACACGCGAGGGGGGAACGCTCGACCACCAAGGCAGGAAACGGAGCGACAGGTCGTGCGGAAGGTGACGGAGACTCGGGAAGGGTTTTCTGCTTCGCGCGCTGTAAGAGGAGCCCAAAGAAAAAGGCGAGGGGCGGGGTGGGGAGACGGAAGTGGAGGAGGGAGGAGCCAATGAGCAAGAGGGCGGGACTCTCTGAGAGCCCATTGGCCCCGGGCCCCGTCAATCATTTTATTTCCTCCCGAGCTGTGGCAAGACCGCATATGAGAGAGCGGGAGGAGGAGGAGAGGGAGGTTCCCTCAGGCGGCTCTCGCACTCTTTTCACGCAAAAAAAAGAAGACTGAAGTGGGGCTGAAACTGAAACAGGGCAACACTCGTAAAAGGAGTGCGGTCTCTTGCTCGCCTCCATTCTTACAGTTTCCTGTTTAAGGAGGCCATTTTGTAACGCAGCCCGGACAAGAGGCACAACAAAGTTTGGCATGATTTTGTTTGGGTTGTTTTTTCCACGGCCGAGACATTCAGAGTCAAGTTTGGACTTTCTCCCCCGCGCATCTACTTCTTGAGACGAGCGCGCCGAAGGTGGGCAAGGCGCGCGCGGGCACGCGTACGCGAGTCTCTCACTGGACAGTGCTCGTGCGTGTCATGCCAGGACAATAACAGCAGTCCGAAGGAGAGAGGACACGAAACAAGTGACCCAAAGGAAGAGAGAGGAAAAACACAACTTCCTGGATAAGGGTTTCTTCCTTTATCAAGTGGTTGGGGGTGGACACGGGACACCAGAGGACCCGGGACTGCTCCTGTGTCCGTGTGTGAGCCCCTTGTCTCCTCCACTGAGACAGTTTGAATGAGCGTGGGGGAGTTTTCTGAAAAACGTATTTTTTTTTGTGCATGTTAAGAGCTTTGGGCAAATAACAAACACAACTCTCGAATGGCGAACGCGAGCCCCTGTATGTCCTCGGGGGCCATTGCCCAGGTGTTCTTTCCTCCCGGGGGCCCCTCGCCGACGGGCTCCGCTGTGATGCAGCCGGGGACCCCCATATCCATGCCCGCTCAGGGGTTTTTCCCCATGATGGACCTGACGCCTGTGCAGGGTCCCGCGGGGGCCGTGGTCCCCCAACAGCCCCCGACCCCAGCCGGGGTGTCCTTCATCATCCAGATCGGCCTGACCAGAGAATCTGTCCTGATGCCCCTGAGTGCCGACCTGGCCTACGTGAAACAAATGGCCTGCTCCATTGTTGACACCAAGGTAGGACACGTGTGTGTGTGTGTGTGTGTGTGTGTGTGTGTGTGTGTGTGGTGATCACCTTCCCCAGGTGGACAGCTGCTTTTGTTCTGTGACTCTGTGCCACACTTTCATGCGTGTCTTCAAAAAGGTTTGTCAGATGACCAGTCAGGACTACTCTTTTTGTGTCATGCTCCTTTTAAAAAAAACGTTTTAAGTGTCTCACAATACAAACCTTTTTTGTATACATAATATATCATAATATTCCCATATGTACGTGGAGGTGCTCAAATTGGCAAGCAGAGAGTGTTTTTGAACAGACTGCTGTGACAGACCCTGGAAAATGTCACATTTTTGATCCGCTCTAATTACTGCAATTACCCCCCCCAGTTGGAAGCCAGCACACTGTTCAATTAAGCTTTTGTTTTGCCAAATACAGGGCAGCCGAGGGGCCGATGTTTGGTGGGCTCAGTGTTTGAGACACTTTCATTTGAAATGTAGGACTAAATCTGCAGCACTTCACATGATTAAAAAAGCCTCTGATGCCTAAAACAAAAATGTCTTTACTTTCCTTCAAACTAAATTCTAAAGTTGAATGAATATATATTGGACAACCACAATGTCCCGCAAGTCTCCTGCACTCTCCTCCAGACATTTTGAATTTCAACAAAAGAAATGATCAGACCAATTTTGACATCTTTGCTTTGACTTATTTCTTTGTTTTTACAAATCCCTGATCATATTCATTTTATAGTCGTATTTCAGGCGTTATCTTTTCAAACCGCCCACAGTTTGAACGATTGGCAGTGTTTCCAGAGAAAACATCTTTTTGTTGCCGGGCTTTTCCTTTTCCTTTAGTGCATGTGTGCCCACTCATCGCGTTGTTTTATCTTCTACTTTGACAATGTTTTCTTTTCTTTCTTTTGACAGCCGCAAACTTAAAATTATTACATTTTTCATCATTGATTGCATCATCAGCCTATTATTGAAAATATTTGGTCTAAAAAAACAAGAGGCTTTTAATGTGAGTTTTGTAGGTAGAAAGAACACTAATGCATCTGAAAACAATAACTTCCAACAATTGTTGTTTTTCTCCTATTAAACTGAGAACGGGGGGCGAGTGACATCCTCATTGCAACAGGATGTACAGGAGTAATTATGTATTATGGGGACGGTGGTCTTTACGCTTTTAGCAAACCCAACTATCTAGACCAGCAGATTTCCACCATAGACGCGCGTAGGAGGAAACGCATTGAGGAGACGACGTCATGCCGCAGGTAGATTAAGCGGCCCGTGTGCTTTTATTGGCCAATTAGGCCCGTTGGTGCTCATGTTAGCAGATTTCAACAGACCTCGTAAAGCAGCTTTGCAAAGCTCCCCTCGATCGCCAATCTTCTGGGAAACTTGAATTTAGTGAGATCATTGAGCCGTTGTGCTGAAGCTCCAGCCGTGTGTCCGTGAGCTCACGGTAGGAGGTGTTGCATAGCATCGTCGTCATGTCAACAACAGTTTGTCGTCTTTTCTTCCTCTTTTTTGTGTTTGTGTGTGTTTTGTTTTTTTTCTTCTGGCAAACCATGTGTGTAATGCAAGAGAGATCATTTTATACATTCAGTAAGATGCCTTTTTAATTCACTCTCCAGGGTTTTGGAGTATTCTGATTGCCCATAAAAATGCAGTAAAACATTTTCAAATATCAACATGCCAATTTAGGAACTTGTCGAGTACCTCTGACCCAACAACACTTGCAAACGCTCCAACTCCTGTCGCTCCACGTGCCAAAACCGCTTAAGAATACTTCAACATAATTAGGAAGACGGTGTCACAGGGTGTTTGTGACTGCTTGTAAATGTCACATCATGGCATTGATCAGCTGGAGAACTTCCCCTGTATGGTGAAGTTGGGATGGTACGGTATTCATGTGGCAGCCTTTGTATGTGTGTGCATAGATTTGTAGGTGGTACCAGCTTGCAGACGCATGGTGGCGTGTGGAAAGGTCAGCGTGACATGCAGCATGAGTAACACCCATCTAGACTCTGGACGTTTTCTGTGTTTTTGAGACGGAGAAAGGAAATTTGATTCCTCTGCAGATTACTGTCTTTATACTTTGGGTTCCAGCTTGTCAGCAAGAGAAAGAAAGCAACTGGCCTTCTTTTATGGTTTGCTTCTTCTTCATTTACTCCTTTTTCAGCATCTTTGAATCCCACTGTCCCCACAAAGAGGCAGTCAATACTCCAGACTCACAGGAACCCACAACAGCTTTAAGCAACCCACATTTGTGAGGCAAGACACCCGTGCTATTAGTTGCAGTATTACAGAATACAACACAACATAGTGTGGCTTTAACGAGGAGCTGGAACGAGATGATAAAGAATATATATATATATATATATATATATATATATATATTCTTCTTTGTAGCCTGCTGTGTTGGTTGAGTTACAGTGTAAGATAACGGCACCACTCTGCGTGGTTTCCCGTGTTTCCTTTGGCCGAGGGGTCTCCAGAGAATATTTTGGTCCTTATCTTTTGAGTGTTCACTATTTAGTTTTTTTTTTTTTAAATTAAAGTGAAACGAGACAAAAAAAAAGGAATCTGAAAAAGTACATTCATTCCCTGAGCTGATCTTTCTCAAGCCCGGTTAGAGCGGCCATACGCACATATACGTACACCCGGCAATCCCCCAAATCCCCCTTGGACCCAGAATTCCTGCCCTGCTAGGACCTGCAGCCTGACGTGGGAGATTTGGACAACGGGCAGCTTGTCCTGGTCTGCCGAACTAAATGTGTGAGCCATGAGTCGCTCTGTGTGGGTGTGTGCGCACACGAATGCCTCCGCTGGTGTACTTAGTGGGGTATTGAGGGCTTTTTGGTACCCCCACACCCCTCCCGTCCCCGGCAGGGTGAGTCACTGGTTGTGTTTATTCACAGGCTCCCTCCTTGTGCTCCGTTGACACGTTTTTCCGCTCACTTCTCCGTCACTCGCCCAGAGTCGGTGGCCGTCCAACGGCTCTTGTTAGTCCCCCGAACTGAGCACTTGGCCCGATCGCTCAGGCGCACACTGAAAAAGAACACCTTTTTTTTTTTATTCGCATTATCCACACTTCCCACGCCTTTTCTAAAGCGCTGCTTGGCTGCGTACGTTGCAATGGTGCGAGCCAGAATCCCATTTAGCCGGGCCGACTTGCAGCTGCCCCAACCCCCTTCTCCTCCAGATGGAACAAGAAGTAATGGTGTGGCCTGGAAACCAGAGGTCTGTCTCCATCCAACCATGGTGCCGTTCTGATGTATTTGCTCCTTTTTGTTGGGCAGGCCTTACCGACGCCCTTGTTTTTCCTTTCGTCATTGTACCTTCTTTTTCCCCCCATCAAATGTGTTGTTTTTCTATCACTTACAAATGGGACGTACATTTCTGTGGGTACAAATACTCTGGCTTATTTTTATTATTTATTTTCCAGTTTGAGTAATGCTGGAATAAATACTAAATCATGAGAGCTAAAAGATCCAATATTTCTCTTTTCTTTGTTTCTTGGGATAAAAGGCTACTGACATCTTCTGTCTTTAGGAGAACCACCTCTTACTCTCCCTCATGTTGCTACTTCCTCTTCCTCTAGGAGCTTTATTTCATCCGCTTATCCTCTCCGGTTCCTTCCTCCTACCTTATCAACTTCCTCTCACTCTCTTGTGTCCTCTTCCTCGTCGCATCCCACCTCCTGCCGCCCACTTTCCTTTCTTTGTACTCTTCCACCTACCGATCCCCCTGAAATATTTCCAAATCCACACTTGCGCGGCCGTACCAGACAGGACGACACAGGTTTGGAAGACGCGTAGCGTCTACGAAGCGATGAGTCATGATTCCTGCGCTCGCCCTCAGCTACATCGAATGATCATGTTGAATATTAGACATTGGTGGCAGGTTGAGCCAAGCCTTCCAACCCGAACCACACAGGGAGCTACTACAGTAAAGCCAACACGCTCGTTGGTCCCGTCTGTCTTGGTATCCCGTCCTTCACCTAGATTGCCACACGGCGTGTGGCGTTTTCTGCTCTTTCGGCGCTTAACGTGTTTTTTATTTTGTCGTCAAAGCGAAGCGTGTTTATTTGAGTTGGCACCACTGGGTGTGTTTCAATATATGTGTCAGTAAGCATGTGAGAACCTGCTTGGTCTTAGTCACTGTTTGCTGGGGTCACATGACTTGATTTCTCTGTGACACCGCTGATCAAATCATCATCAACATTTGCCATTCAACCGCCACACGAGGTTTCGTTTATTTCTACATCTAATCACAAGAAACTTTAACCTTTTCGTTAGAATGTGAATTAAAAGCACAAAGAAATACCCTTGACTAAACACACAGTTGTTGCTGAACGCCTCCTGCTCTGGCCATTGTTTCCACCTCTGTTTTGGAAGAGTCCCTTTCTTTACCTCCCTCCCTTGAGAAGCACTTTGGCCCTGGGAATGGGATCACACACACACCGCCTCCTGTTTACCTCACTCTTTAGCGCACGTATTCTATGCACCCGACACACACACACACACACACACACACACATTGTAAAGTAACTACAGAGAAGGCCTCCATGTTGCAGATGAGGTGAAATAGTTTACATGAAAATCCCACAGTTCTATGACCAGCGTCTCTGTAGCTGAGGACACAGCGTTCATTTGGTGTGAGATGCATCTTACAATAAACATTTAGCCACTGTATCAATCTAAGCAAACACTGTCTGCCTATCAACCCAAACCTTTTGTTGGTCAGTGAATAAATGCCAGACAATTAGCAGCACACTGGCAGGTGGACATGCAAGTGAAAAGACAAGCTAGAGGCCTTTATCGAACCGCACGTCGCATGATGATTAAGTGAAGATCACACGGCCATGACCGCACGCTGCGGCCGTAGCCCACCGCTCCAAACCTCTTACACGGGCTTTGTCTAACTGGTACTGCTGTAAAGGAAATACTGTTTATTTTCAAAAGGGTAATCCCACAGTAGCAGGTATCAGTTCTGCTTAGAGATAACCCTCCCCT